GCCCAAGGTTGCGAAGGAGGTTACATTGGACGATCTGAATGGCCGTGCGGAGGGGTTGTGAGATGCTAGCTTCATGGATACGCGAGTCTGAGTCGGGGGCTGCCAGTTCAGACATGAGGTCGAAATTGGGCCGGTACTGTAGAGGTAGCGTATTGAGGGCTTGCTGCATATCGGCCATCCATTTCTGGGCCTGCGGACATGTCCTGATGAGATCGAGGCCCATCTGCGGCCACTGTGCCCCCTGGCCAGTAAATATGCCCAGGATACGGGAGCTACGATGAGACTGGACATGGCGACGAGAGTTGGCGGGCATGTGCCCACTGGATTGGCCGAATATCTCTTGTGTAATTTGGTCTCTGAGCTCGTCTGCTGAGGTGGCAGTAAATATTACGTGGTATTTATGACATGAACGTCGTGTCATCAGGGTCAAAGCCAGGTCCGTGGGATTGATCATTCGGTTATCATCGAGAAATTCGTGGAGACCCCTGAGCAGCATTCGCAGTGAGAGTGCAGAGGCTGCCGAAACAGCAAAAGGGAGAACGCAAGAATCCCCTTCATCCTCTTTGGAGCGCCGAGGCGAGGACGGGGGCGCATAGCTTTCGAGAATGGCGTGAACATTAGCACCGCCAAAGCCAAATGAATTCACCGAAGCGCGGCGAGGTACCCCGGGTGGCAGGCTCGGCCACGGGACACGTTCATCTGGCACTCGCAGTCGAGATAGGTAAGGTACGATCCGAGGGTTGGGTGAGGATAGCAGCAGGTTCGGAGCAATCTCCCCATGCTGCAAGCACAATGACGCCTTGATCAGCCCAGCCAAGCCAGCTGTCGCTTCTGTATGACCAATCACAGTCTTAACCGAACCAACATGCAGGACTTGAGAGTCTTTTGGTGCGGCATCCCCAAAGAAAGCCCCATAAATGGCACTGGCTTCCTGGGGGTCTCCTGCTTGCGTCCCCGTCCCGTGTGCCTCGAAATATTGGCATCTGTGCTGGGCATTCTTTGGGTCCAGGCCGATACTGGCATAAGTCGACTCGATCAGTCGCTGCTGTGCTTCTCCGTTCGGCATCGTGATGCCCATTGTCTGACCGTCGCTGTTCACACCTGTAGCCCGAATGACACATTCAACCTCGTCCCCTGCAGCGATAGCATCGCTCAGTCGTTTTAGAACCACCGAGGCGACCCCCTCTCCTCGCGCGTAGCCATCGGCGGATACATCCCACATCCGTGACCGGCCCGTAGCAGACAGCATCCCTGTTTTTGCGTCGGCCATATAGGGGTTGGGAGACAGAATTAGATTACTCCCCACCGCGACAGCCATCGCACAGTCACCTTTCCGTAATGCCTCGACAGCCAGATGAACAGCCAGCAAGCTGGAGGAGCACCCGGTGTCCACAGAAAATGATGGCCCAGTCCAGTTGAAAAAGTATGAGATTCGGTTTGCCATGATCGCAGGTGAGTTCCCGGTGACCGTGTATGGAGGAATCGAATCTGGATCGGCAAATTGTATCTGGCTGTAATCGGTACGGAGGAAGCCACAGTAGACCCCCGTAGGCGATCCCTGCAAGGCATCGAGTCTATGCCCGCCGGCATCGAGAGAATCGTAAACTGTCTCCAGAAGCAGGCGTTGTTGCGGATCCAAGGCAGCTGCTTCTGCTGGGGAGATGTTGAAGAAAGGAGCGTCAAAGGCTCGTATATCTTCCTCTAGGAAATACGACTCGGTCACGCTTGTCGCGCCGTGCTGTTGACTGTTTGGATGGTAAAATGCATCCACGTTGAATCGGCCACTGGGAACTTTGGAGGCGACGTTTCGCGGATTCCGAATGAGATCCCAGAGACGAGCTGGTGAGGAGGAGGATCCAGGAAAGCGACATCCTGTTCCGACAATGGCTATGGGTTCGAGAGACATTAGAAAAAAAAGCGATGTAGAGTGATAAAATCAGAATCAGAAAGCAGACGAGAGAGTGACTCCATCAATATTAATCGGCTTGGGAGGCCATTCGGCTAAGTCGATCCCCTTGCGCGTTCACGATGCATGATGTATTTATGCAAGGGTTGCACCTTCTTGGAAAGTCCAGACTTGTGTCGCAAATATGGTCCGCTATGGATTCGAGGATTCTAACCGCCAACCTCCTTCCTCGATTCACATCTCTACTGCTGCGCCTCGATATATCCCAACTGATCACATCAACCCCCTGGATCTGAATGAGGAGCAAGCGCGCTACGGTCAGCGAGGACTACGACAAAAGACCCCCACAACCCCCCCTTACCTTACTCCACTAGTAGTTTCTCCTCGCTTCAAATGATGCGAATGAACTCAACTCGCTCGACAGCCAGTTATCTTTGTATGTCGTTGAGGAATGTTGATTTGCGCGTGCGGCACTGATATCTGTATCGCCATCGCCATCGCCATAGCCACCAGGTTTCACAGGGCTCTCGTGTCAAGACAGTGCTCAGAAGCAAGGGCAGATTGCAGACGACGACAGTTAAAGCTTTGCAAGAGAACATACCCGTCACGACCCCCGTGGGAATTTGCCTTGAGTATTGAACAGCGCATCTAGCCTCCCTCTCCTACTTGCAGTCATCCCTATAACACCCTAAATACAACCTCCAAAACACAAGCCACCATTGTCCATAGCCCCATCACCACATTACTACGAAAGACATAATACCCGCTTCCTGGATCCTTCGCATCGAATCTCCTCATCTGGTCCACAAACCCAATGATCCAGACTCCCATCCAAGAGATCCATAACCAAACTGAGGCCAAAGGGCATAGAGTCCAACACAGCGCACCCGCCACTATCGTTGCTAGAGCCACAAGTACGCCATGTATGTGTTGACCCGCAACAGTGTAGAGTGAGTTTACACCCAGTTTCTTATCGTCGACAATATCTTGGTAACTGTAGGCGGTGTTGAAATAGAGAGTCCACGTGAAGACAACTAGGCAAAGCGGCAGACTAGACCCTACAAGTACAGTGAAGGAGTCTAGATTGGGGTAGATCGAGGCGCGGCCAAAGAGGACAGGACAGGATGCTGTCAGAGCGAGAATGTATTGAGGATAGATACCAATTCGGCGTGCGAGCGGCCTTTTGCAGTATGGATATATCAAGGTTCCCAACGTAGGGGGGATCATGGAGTGCGAACTACAGTCTCGCACCGTTAGTCAAGCAAGCTTGGTAAGAGGAGCGGGCGAGCCGTTGGGATTACGCACACATATCGTCCGTCCATCATCCAATACAAGAACGTCGTGGCTATGCCAGCTTGAAACAGCATCCAGACCATGGCTTCTTCAGTGCGGAGTCTGCCTGCGGCCAAGGGACGATCCTTGGTGCGTGCGACGCGGGCATCGATGTCCCGATCAACCCAGTCATTCCACACCATGCCCGCCCCGGAAAAGATATATGCTGCCAAGGAGCAGAAAAGAACACGGGTAAGGACGAACGGGACGGAGATATGGTTGGGGTCTTCGCGAAGTCGTGTACTCCCCGCAAGAAGCGTCGACCATACTGTGCCTTGTTAGGGCCGACTGGCAAAAGGGGATAAAGGTGGACAAACCTCCGGCAAAGAGAGCGAGAAATGAGTTATACTTGTCATATCGCGAGATACGGATAAGGTCCCACGATATTTGGCTTAGGGACCTGCTTTGGGTTGTGGGAGAACCAACCATTGTGGCGAGGCGTTGAAGCAGTTGTGACCAGCAAATCAATTGATGATAGACGGACCTCTTATATATTTATTCATTCTTGGCAACGGTGAGTGCGTACTTCGCTAGCCAGCCCTTACATGCCCACATCGTAAGCAGCCACGACAGATGATGCCGCTGATGCAAGGGGGTCTTCACGTCCACACCGCTGTTCCCAGCAGAGTGTTCGAGATCAACTAATACAAAGCCTCCATGAGATATCCTCAGTACGTAGCAAAAGCTCAGGGTCCGTGGAAGGCCGTGATCAACATGCAGAGCCCACCTTTGGCCACACTTGTCCTCATCATCTTCCTCCCTCTAGTCCTAACCATAGCCCTGAACCATCTCGCTCGGTCCTGGTTCCCTTCCGAACGCCGACCGAAGCAAATCCCGTGGATAGGCCGCCGACGAGGATTGCTCAGCTCGTTTCGTAGCTTGCCTTGGTCAATGGCGCTACAATCCAACCCTCCTCGAAGCCGGCTACGAAGCCTTCAGTAAGACGGGCCGAGCCTTTCTCATGCCCCTGATTAGTTTTGAACCCATCGTCATTTTCCCCCAAGAGCACGTAAAATGGATTATTGCTCATCATGATCTAACAACCCAGCCCGGCGCGGCGTTTACAAGTACCGTGTTGACCGCCCACCACACCCTGCTTGATATACTCGGCTCAAGCAAAAAGGACCACATTTACCAAACCCTTCGAAGCGAGGCTGAGTCGACGTTGGATGACCCGGCGAAATGGTCTGATCCAACTGCTATTCTACAGTTGCACTACATAGATAGTACACTTCGAGAGAGTCTTCTCCGCCTACCTCCATGGCCCTGTTGCGCGAGGTCGTTCCCAGGGACGGGCTGATGCTGCCAAATGGTCAATTTCTAAGCAAAGGCAGCTGGCTGGCCGTCCCTTCGATCCCTCATCCACAGCGACAAGCGATTCTATGAGAGCCCAAACGAGTTTAAGCCTTTCCGGTTCGTACGGGACGAGAAGCCGGAGTCCTGTGTCTCAACAAGCGAGACCTTTCTGTCTTTTGGACACGGTCGTTCAGCCTGGTGAGTTTGGTATCTCCCTTATTCCTGGCAAGTCTAACCGTTTCCAGTGCTGGAAGACAGTTCGCCACTCGCATATTGAAAATGATGTTTGCGTACATTGTCGTACATTACGACATTGAAGCGATTGATGGACGGCCTGCCAACTTCTTTATGGGGGAACATGCTGTGCCTCCAGATGTGATAGTGAGTGTGAGGAGAAGAGTATAGTGTCAAACCGTGCTTCACTTCAGTTTGGTAGAACTCGTAATCTAGTTATCTATATCCTTAATTACAAAGACACCTCGTCCTTCCTCCTTCTCACAGCAACCCGAGCAACGGGGTCTGCACTCGTAATGGAGCCAACGGTGAAGACCTTGGGCTGATCCACAAGCTTGATGTCGTATTTCATCAGAATGTGACACAGCGCAAGCTTAGTCTCGGCGGTGGCGAAGAATCGGCCAGGACAACCATGCGCCCCATGCCCAAATCCGATATGGTTGACGCTCGTCGCTACAAAATGTGCAGCATGTTCTTGGGTGGGCGTCTGGCGCATCTTGTAGAATCGGTAAGGGTCAAAATGCGCCGCGTTAGGGTAGATGCCCTCGTCCCAGTGATTGTGTTGCGAAATCATTAGCAAGTCCCCTTTTTCGATTGTGATGCTGTCGTTGTCTCCAGGAGTAGTCGAAGCGAGGCGGATCTTCTCAGTTGCATAGCGCCGCATGTTTACTATATCATCATCAGCCTATTGACCTCGTAGTGTCCATGCTAGTGACACAGGAAGACTCACCTAACCCTGTGGGCTTCAATCGCTGACTCTCTTTCATGACACTATCCATCAACATGAGCTGGTGCACCGCCCGCTTATTCCAAAACCCTCTTTCTCCTGTATTCGTTCGGACGTCAATAATCTCCTTCCTCAACTCCTCTACTAGCCCCGGTCTCGCCGCTATATCGTATATCACTTGCGTGAGAAAATCCGAGGTGTTATGCATGGCCGATAGTGCCAGAGTGAGCTGTAAAACAGCTGGATCGTATTTGCGTCCGCGAGCACATTCTTCCGCCCAGGCGATTGTATCCAGGTAAATTGGTGGCTCGAGACCCTCGGCTATGCATCGCTCTCTTTCCGCTCTTCGCGATAGGATAACGGGTTCAATGAGCGTCCGGGCATTGGCTATCTCACCACGAAGCAATTGACATGCGGGGAGAAACCACCCAACCAGCGGCCGTAGGAGCGATGGGTACACGCGAAGCTCGCGCACGGCGCTGAATGCGTGAAGGGTTATGCTGCGTGACAGGGCGAGCCAGGTTGGATTGTGGGAAAAGCTGCGGCCAAGGAAGATGCGGGCAGATTGCTGGGAAATTATGTCAAGGACGGTGGACTTGACGCTGATTTCGTGCCATTCTAACGATAAATAAGCGACGGAAGACCAATTGAGGCAGGGCACTATCGTACCTGGATTATCTGTCCAGCTCTGCTGCAAGGCATCACTAGCTTCCTCAGATAGAGGCTCAACTAAATCGACCAGTTGATGTGTTAGTTTCTGACGGATGATGTAGCTCATAATCTCTTTGCCCACTTGATCCATCTCAAAGACGTTCAGACCAGCGACGTTGGGGAGCATTGTCTACGAATTAATGTCAGTCCGCAGAAGAGACTAGACTAGTTGCTCTACCTACGTGGGCCCTGTAGGCGTGAAAATCAAATCTCTTGTCGTTTCGTATAGCGTGAGCATATTTCGGTGCGAGAATCAGCTCGATCCCATTCTCGGTGACAGCGTAGAACCCATTTTTGGACTGTGTTGCTGTCAACTCTCGCCTAACATGATGTAGCAGAAGGGAGACCAACCTTTTCGAATCCAGCTTGTATGACGTTCTTCGCGTTTGCGTAATACCGCTTCTTCGCGTTGGTGAAAGAAAATTCCCAACGCCTGGGGCTGTTTACAAGAGGTAATTGAGGCAAAGATGGGCGGGGGACACGTATGAAAAGAGCGATAGCAACCAAAAACGATGTGATAATAATTGTTGTGGACTGCTCAACGTCTCGGATTGACGTAAATATGGTGGTGGCAATCATGATGGCTTGTCTGTCCGGCGTATACTCTGGTCGCGCTGTAGGCAGTCTCGATGGCAACTGGGGAGCAGTCGACTGGCTATCAGCAGATTCCCTGGGGATCGGTCTAGGATGGCGCCTCGAATTCGATAACGGGGCGGTATCGGGGAAAATTCCAAATCCCAATATTGAGGCAAGGGGGATAATCTGGTCTACGTGGTTTCCAGCTCAGAGCGGATGAACCACCCCCTTGCTGCCGCGAAAAGAAATAGAAATTGTCTTGTCCGGCTGGCCAATGCCAAAGATGAGTGACCCCAATTGTCTTGTTGAACAGGCTGCGTTTGCTCCGTCCGCGTTCCTCTACGTGCAGTCCTCTTCCATTCGTGCAAAGAAGTAATGACTATCACGATGGGCTGTCTTCAGAATCGCGTGAGTACTGCGCTACTAACCACCACACGACGGTAAGCTAACTCTCCGTGCAGGTCGCAATAATCACTGGCGCCTCATCAGGGATAGGGCTGGCTGCCGCACTAGCTGCCCTAGAGGCCGGGGCCAGTGTATTCGCCGTCGATATGTCGCCCTTTCCAGCCGCTCTTGAGGCCAGTGACAAGTGTCGGGCAATGCAATGCGATCTTACAGATCCCGGTACGCCACGGAAAATTGTTGAAACCTGTACCTCGGCCTTCGATGGCCGTATTGACATTCTGATGAATATTGCCGGAGTAATCGACCATAATGCCAGCGTCGACGCCGTCACGGACGAGGACTGGGATCGGTGTATGGCTGTCAACCTTACGGCGCCGGTAAAACTGATGAGAGAGGTTATCGGGGTCATGAGGAATCGGAAGTCTGGGGTTATTATAAACATGGCAAGCCGGGCTGGAATGAGTGGTGCCGCGGCAGGCGTAGCCTATACGGCGAGTACGTTTCCCACCTTTGCTCACATTGAACACGATTCAAGGCCGGCTCTAACAGGGAGTAGGTAAGCATGGTCTTATCGGAGCGACGAAGAATGTTGCTTGGAGATTCAAAGGGGAGAACATCCGGTGCAATGTGCTGTGTCCGGGGGGTATGATATTCCTTTCTTTTCGAGGGCGCGTGGATTCACAGTTTGCCTGACTATCAACAGGCGTCGCGACTGGGTTACTAAATAGTATTGATCCAGCTCGGTTTGACCAGGAAGCCACCTCAATGCTCCAGCCTATCTTTTCCGCCGTGTACGCAAACCGGGCAGATGGATATGGGGTCATGATGCCGAGCGAAGTAGCGTCTACTATTGTGTTTTTGTGCTCAGATCAGGCTTCTCGAATCAACGGAGCCGTCCTTCCCATTGACGATGGCTGGTCTACTATATAATCACACTGCGTTGTTGGATTATCACGATCTCTCCCTGCAAGTTACACAATGAGAAAATGAACTGTCCTGTTTGATCTCCAGCGCATCCAGGAACTCGGCGACACCATTGCCCTCCGAGGCGCCAGTCCCGGTCGTAGAGCGCGCAATTTCCTGGAGCATCAACCTCACTTCTGTGGCCAGTTCCGCTATCCTGGCGCGGCAGTATGCAAAGCTCCCCGCAGATTCCATAATACTGATCGCGTATCTTTTGACAGTCACGTCTTCCGTCTTCTGCTTGAGGATGTTGAGGAGCTGTAGGCTCTGCGCGCCATGACGGATGGCATGAATTATAGGAAACGAGAACTTGCCCTCGGTCAAATCCTCCCCGAATCCCTTATTCTGAATGTATGTCCCGCTCTGTAGATTCTGGTAGTCATCGCGAATCTGAAAGATGACACCCATCAGGTCGACAAGTGGGACGTAGTCGCTGTTCGCTCCAATTAGCCGGTCCAGAGTCTTTGTCCTTGAGCGAGAGGGGCACTCACTATCTACTATTGCTTGAACACTGCATCAGCTTGATTGCGAGCCGAAACAGCCCTCCCGTTTTATCAGCCACCATTTCGAGATATTCTTCCTCGGACGGGCATGTCAGGGAGTCCCGCCAGTACAGGTCCATCCCCTGCCCGCGGTGCAGCCGAAGAAGTTCCTCTGTAAATATCTGAATTGCGCGGGGGTCATTCAGCTTGTGCAGCTCATGTTGGGCTTGGAAATATGCACTGTTCGCTGAGTTGATCGTCTGCGCGATTCCAAAGATACTGTGAGCGACCGGTTGACCCCGCCGGAGCTTGGAGGAGTCCTGAATGTCATCAATCCTGCGACAGTCAGACACCTCGGCATGTCACAAGCTATGAAGATGCTTACAGTAATGAGGCGGTGTGTAAGAGCTCGATCACTCGTCGGATAATATCCAGTTTGTCCGGTGGGACGTTGAGCCATTCGTTGAAAGCGGCGATCAGGCGGCTGCGGAGGTCTTTTCCCGGTAGAGACAAGAGGTAGTCTATAGGGGCTGCTATAATCTATGTTTCCTTAGTTTGATATTGTGAGAGCAACGGAGGATTTGGTTTCGATTACCTGGTCCGGGCCCAGTTTTGCATTCTGCCGAGTGTCGCCCTCAACGGCCGTGACTAGAGGCGTTGCGATGCTTGGAGTTGGAGCCATCTTGAGGGCAAAATTAGGAGAGAAAGAGCACCACCGGCGTGTTCACAATTTATCACGATATTTTATCGATATGATGGGTCATTCTGTCACACATCGAACTCCTGCAGTGCACATTGCAAGGGAGCTCAAAAGCAAGGACGCTGCATATTACCTTCCACCGAAGCTGTCGATTCAAGGGTCTAGCTAGGGCTCTACGATCCCTCACATCCAGAGAGTCGTCTTCGTAAGCACCCCTAGTCTAATCACGCCGGGGTTCCTATTAATTGGAGGATCAACCGCTTGCCCTCCTGCAACTACCAAAGCAATAATGGATTCATTAGACTTCACCAAAGCCCCCCAATCCTTCCAATCGGTCAAATGGATCTCTGACACACTTCTTTTTGTTATGGCAGCGGGCTGGCTGACGTGCTATATCGCCACGATCCGCACCGCTCGTCGCGATCATGCCTGTTGGGTACCGAGCGTCCCTGTGTCCTGCAATCTCGCCTGGGAGCTCGTCTACGCCATTCTCTACCCTCCGCCGCGCCTCCCGATAGTCACTGCTTGGTTCACGCTAAACCTTGCTGTAGTATACACCGCTCTCAAATACAGCCCTGAATCGAGGGGGAATTCGCCTCTGCGCGGGTATCGGTTGCATGTCGGCTTCGTCATTGGCACAGCTCTTTGGGCTGCTGGACACGTCTGCCTTGCAAAAGTCGTGGGCCCTCTGACAGCATTTTACTATGGCGGGCTGGCCTGTCAAATCATGACAAGTGCGACGGCGCTGTGTGCGCTTGTGAGATCGAGGCGATCGAGTGGCGCGAGTTGGCTCATCTGGTAGGTTCTCTCCCCCATTCAAACAACTTTTTTCTCCCTATTCTAACTGAGTGGTAGGGTGTCTCGCGTTATTGGTACAAATAGCGCCATTGCTGGAGTCTTTTTCCGTGCACACTACTGGCCAGAACTGTGGGCATGGACGATGAACCCATTGATTTACTGGGCGGCTGCGACGTTTGCCATCCTTGATGGGGCGTACGGCCTCTGTTTCTTGTCTATCAGACGGGCCGAAGTAAGGGATGGTATCAAGGATGAATGACTTTGTCACATAGGATGTAGGGACTTATTGAAGCAAGGGATGAACTGGCGGTGACTCGACCTAGAAACTAATTGAGGGGAGTAGACTAGAAAGGGGTTTTCATGCTCGCAGTGGACGATTGCACTCGCCTTGACCACATCGGATGTAAAAATTTTCTACCCCTGTGTAGTGCAAAGAGCGTTACGTCTCAGTCACTATATGTCCCGCGGCCTCTCGTCACCGTATCACTAGTTTATACTGAATGCTCTAATGGCCGAAAAGTCCGCAAGAGACGAGCTAAGAGTCCTAATAATTGGCGGCTCCATCGCCGGCTTAACGCTCGCCCATGCCCTATCTGCCCTAAACGCCTCCCTCCAAGACAATCCCCGTGCCAAAACAACAATAAGATACACGGTGCTTGAGAAGCGTTCGTCATTTACTCCCCAGGAAGGCGCCTCTATAGGAATCCTTCCTCATGGCGGGCGGATCCTAGACCAACTAGGCCTCTTTCAGGATGTCGAGGACGAAATCGAGCCCCTACACACAGCGCATCTCCGCTTTCCTGGCGCAAAAGGGTATGTGGCAACGAATGAGTCTCCACGGGTCGTGGGCGATAGGTTTGGGTTGCCGTTTGCCTTTCTAGAAAGGAGGACCCTGCTATGTATTCTTACCGAGGGACTCGGAATTAGCGGACGGGTTGAGCGGCAGGGAAACGTGACCAGAGAAGGAGGAGAAGGAAGTCGGGTTCTTTGTGACAAGGAGGTAGTGCGGGTTGAGTTTGTCAAAGATAAGGGAGACGAACGAGAAGCGGCCTTGGTCAGAACGAAGGATGGAGGGCTTTATAAGGGCGATCTGGTGGTGGGTTGTGATGGGGTGCATAGCATTGTGCGCAGAGAAATGTGGAGGATCTCTGCCGAGGAGGGAGAGGGTATAGAACCAGGCGAAAAGAAAGGTCTGTAGCACATCCTCCTTGAAAAGACAGCAAGAGGCTAACTGTTTGACAGGCCTCTCAGCAGAGTATGCGTGCATTTATGGTATTTCCTCTGCCGTGCCCGGATTCGAGGCGGGCGAGCACGTTGCCAGCCTCAACAACAAACGGTCTTTCTTGACTTTCCCTGGAAGCCACGATCGGACGTTTTGGTTTCTGATCTGGAAGCTTGACCGGAAATATGTCTATGCCGATGGCGATATGCCTCGTTTCACAGCAGCCGATACGGCATCCGTGGTCGAGAGATATGCACAGGACATTATCTGGGGCGAGGTGACGTTTCGCGACCTCTGGGATCGGAGAACAAGACATAACACCACAGTCCTCGAAGAAAATGTCTTTGATACGTGGCACCACAAGCGCATAGTATGCATTGGAGACAGTATACACAAGGTACGTGACATCCATCTTCTATCCCCCAAGCCGCAGCTTAGACAAGGCAGATGGCCCCCAACACCGGACAAGGTGCCAATTGCGCCATCGAAGACGCTGCTAGCCTTGCGAATCTACTCCACGAGTTTCTCATCTCCAACCAGGTCGGGAAACCAAGCACGGAGCAGCTTGACGAACGGTTGAGGCAGTATACAGCCGAGCGAAATCGGCGTGTGGACAAAATATACAGTATCGCGCGGACGGTCGTCCGTTTACATGCCCGCGATACTTTCTACCTCCGGTTCTTCGGCAGGTATGTGCTGCCATATGCTGGTGATATGCCAGCCAGGGCTGCATCAAAGGCCATCAAGGACGCCCCAAAATTGGACTTTATACCTGTATCAGCCAGGGTCGCCAGCGGGTGGAATGAAGATGGCACAGCTGGTGGGAGTATCATGATACGCGTTGTTCTCGGATTGATATTTGTACTGGGAGCAACTTGGACATGGAGAATTGTCGATAATCAACTCAGCTAGCTGTGCAATATATGGACGAGAGCTATTCGTAATTACTTTTGCCCTTCCCTTCGGCGCAGCTGACAGAGCAACGGCCCCTTGTCCCATAAACCATACGTCTTCTGTACATGCCAGTTCTCACTCTCAGAGCACAGCTCCAGGTCGAATTCCCAAAGCACTCTCGCAAGGGCCGTTCGCATTATTCCGTATGCTAGGTTCTTGCCAATGCAGTTGCGGGGCCCGGCCGAGAAGGGCTGGAATACCTCGCGGTTGTCGTTGTAGAAGGGCGACGCTGGGTTATTGGTCACTTTTGGGTCCCAACGTTCTGGGAGGAAGGACTCAGGGCGGTGGAAGTTGGATGGCGAGGTGTAGGCTGCGAATTGGTGGAGGCCGACCTGGGTCTGCATTTTATCAGTTGAGGATATTGTTGGCTGCAATGTTTGGACGACTCACATTAGGAGGGATGGTGAACCCCAAGAGGGTAATTGGGGATACTGTAACGCGCTGCAAACCACCAGGCACGGAGGGATAGAGTCGCAATGCCTCACTAAGACATGCTGTTAGAAGAGGTAACTTTGTGGCGACGGCATGGAAGGTAATATCAGCTGGAGTGGCGATCGCATCTCGCAACTCTTCCCGGACACGACGAAGAACCTCGGGTGTCCGTAATAGCCAGTATGTCACCGCGCAAAGCAGATCGGCTGGAGTCTCGCTACCTGCGATGATGATGACGCTGGCGTTGGCCTCAATTTCCCTCTCCGACAGCTCATTCTTTGTCCCCCGCTGGCGCAGAATGGAGTCCACGAAGTCTGGGCGGCCTTGAACGCTCGATGAAACCGAGTGGATGCGTTTCTGAACTAACGCCCGACTATACTGCATATGTTCCGTAATCGCCTGGAATGAGGTCGACATAAAAGCGAACGCGGTGCGGAAGATGACTGGATACGCATCCATCGCATTGAAGAAGGGAATTAGGCGCGTGTACCTGGTCATAAAGGCGACCCAGGGATGATAGCGCCCCCGGTCGAGACCACCAAAGTGCTCGCCAAATGCCAAATCGCCTATTATATCGAAGGTGGTGAGTCGATACCAGGTAACCAGATCAGCGGGCTGGCGTGAATCTGCAGAAGACTGGAGCTGTGCGACAAGCTTGTCGATATGACCATGAATCGTGGGCTCTTGTTCGCAGGCACCCTTGATAGAGAACCCGTGGGCGAGCGCCTTACGGTATCTGGCGTGATCTCTGTCGTTCGCATTGATAATATCTGCGGTGTTACTGTTGGAGAACTTGGACTTGGGGAGCGAGTGGCGGCGGTCATGGCGGCCATAGATCTCATTCCACGCTTCAGGGCTGATGAAGGAGACCTCATCCGGTGAAAACCGCACAACCGGGCCGTATCGTTCGTGCCATCGCTTGATGTCGAGATCCACGTTGCCTCGGACGGCTGATATGTGGCGTAGCAAAGGGAAGGCAATCCATGGCAAGTGGCAAGGGACACGACGCAGAGGGTGGAAGAATAGGTCGCGAAGAGCTGTTCCAACGACGTACAACACAGCGAGCACGGCACAGACCACAAGGGCCATCATCTTGCTGTCGTTGAGCTGTTACAGTGCCTCTCCGATGCTCACCGCGATTCCACTCGGATTATATGTGTGTGTTCCCGCCTCCTTCCTTACCCCTTGCAGAGGATTGATACCACCCCTTCCTTACCCCTCGCATAGGATTGATACCACCTTCCAGAGCTTGATACACCGCTACTCAATACAGAGCTTGTTAAGATTCAACTTATAGACACTTTATCCTTTTAGAGGACTTCGGCAACGTCTCACCTGAATAAATTAGATGTGAAGTTATCCATCACAATGACTCTCCCACCTCGTCCTAACGCCGTCCACACTGTCGACGCCTCGACGTCTTCAGAGGAATTACGCAAACTCATAGCGAGCGACGGCGCCGTCATCGTGCGGCAATTTATCCCCGACTCCGTCGTTACTGCTCTCAATGAAGAAGTCGATCCCTACCTCAGTGCCACCATCACCGGCCCTCCAGCGAACACTGGGGAACTGTACATGAAGACCGTCGGCTCGCGCACGAAGCACATGGGAAACCTGGCCGCAATCTCACCTACATACCGCACTACTATCCTGAACCACCCCTTGATGCATGCCGTCTCTGACTCCTTCTTCACCGCACCATTCGGCGACTATTGGGTGAACCGTGCCGCTGTTCTCCAAGTCGAACCAGGAGAGAAAGCCCAGGGTCTCCATCGCGATGACAGTCTATACGGGATTACGCGGTATCTCGGTCCAGGTGCGCCAGAGCTCATGGTTAACTTCTTCATCGCTCTTACCGAATTCCGGGAGGACAACGGTGCGACCAGGTTGATTCCCGGAAGTCATCGGTGGAGCGGGAAGGATATTGCAAGTGCAGTGCCGGAGAATACCGTTGGTGCTTTTATGCAGCCGGGTGATGCCGTGCTGTATTTAGGAAGCGTATGGCACGGCGCAGGAGAGAATCGGTCAACTGAGAACCGGCGCGGGTTGAGTGTGACTATGCATCCAGCGCACTTCACACCCATGGAGGCCCATGTCGACTTGCCCAGAGATGTCCTGGAAGGAATGACGCCCCTCGCGCAGAAGATGGTTGGGTGGCGGAGTTGGTGTGGGTATCATGGAGTGCCGGTGTGGACGGTGAGGGATCGCAGGATGGAGGATGAGCTGGCCTTGAAGTCGACATGATAGAACCCCTTGCAGCCCTGTCCTTTTTGCTACATATATAGTTCACAGCACTTGTTAGTTCTTTGTCATGAACACCCTTCCACAGACACAGAACATCATGCAGTTGTACTACACCAATCCCTGGCTCCAAGAGTCGAGTTCCCTCGTGAAATTGAGTCTTATTGCTCTTAGCATTGTAATAGGGTATAGACTGCAGAAGTTGGTCTTCTCCCCTCACCTGCAAGCTCCGCTTGTAGGCTTTCGCTCTCCCTGGGAGCCGCGCTGGCTTGCCGGCCTTCGGTTCTCGAAGGAGGCCCTCCATCGTATCCAGCAGGGATGTCGACAATATAAAGGTGGCATGTTCAGGATAGCACGCGTCGACACCGAGATCCTGGTCATTCCCAACCGGTTTGTTGACGAACTACACTCCAAGCCAGATGAGCAGCTCAGTGCGATCAAGGCACATATGAAGGTATCCCTTATATTTCCTCTGTCCAAATTGTTCATTGACCTTTGGGTCTGGATTAGAACCTTCTCGGCAGGTATTCGACCATCGACATCCTGGATGAAGGCATCCTACACACCCACGCTTTACAGAGTGAACTGACCCCCCGTCTTGGGAATCTCATTCACGCTGTCAAATCCGAGCTGGACTTTGCACTCGCGCGTGAGCTGCCCAGCAATCTCACCGTCGACGACTGGACTCCTGTTTGTATCTACGATGTCATTCTCCGCATCGTCGCTCGCGTCTCCGCACGGATCTTCGTCGGGATTCCCACCTGTCGTAACGAGGAATGGCTCAATCTTTCTATTCGCTTTACTGGGGACGTTTTCCTCACCATGGCCATCCTCCGCCGCTTTCCACGCTGGATGCGCCCGCTCATCGCTCCTATTATTCCTGGCTACTGGTCTATTCGCCGTGGTCTCGGTACGGCAAACAGAATCATTGGCTCTCTGGTTCGCGAACGACGTGCTCAGCAAGCCGGGAACCCAGGCAATGAGAAACCGGCTGATCTACTCCAGTGGATGATGGATAAAGCTAACCCGGCTGATGCCCGGCCCGAGAAACTCGCACACCGTCAGCTCATCCTCAGTCTTGCAGCCATCCATACAACCACCGCCTCGGCAACTCAGGCTGTATACGATCTCTGTGTCCATGGAGACTATGTTGACCCCTTGCGTTGTGAGGTCCTCCAGGCCGTCGCAGAAGATGGCGGTGAATACAGGAAGACGACTCTGACCAAGATGTGGGACCTCGACAGCTTCATCAAGGAGGTTCAGCGCTTGAATCCGCCAGCTCTACGTTCGTTGTCCCCTACCTTTCCCTGGAGCGTAAAGTAAGCGCCGTCTAACCCCATTAGTGAGCTTCCAACGCATCGTCATGCGCGATCTCACCCTATCAGACGGCACGATTCTCCCCAAAGGGACGCATCTCGCGGTACCAGCTGCAGATATTACAAATGAAGCAGATTATGACCAAGAATTCGACGGATATCGCTACTCACGACGGCGTAGGGCCCACCCTGCTGAAGCACACAGACATCAGTTTGCCACCACAGACCGAACAAGTCTTCACTTCGGCCATGGGAAGTATGCTTGTCCGGGTAGGTTCTTTGCTGCCAACGAGATCAAGATGATCCTGGCACATTTGCTGGTCGGTTATGAATTCCGCTTGCCTGATGGAAAGTCCCGACCGGAAAATACGATGATCGATGAGGTATGTTTGGTGGATACTCAGGCTAAAGTGCTGATGAGGCGACGTATGTGATCAGGAAACATAAATAGTAGGTAGTCTATAGTAACTATAAAATTCTCTCTAGTTCGCCCGGAGCAAGGCTGCCAACTCCTCACGCTGCCGATCCAATCTAGCCAGCTTCGACCGAGCAGGCTTCCCAATATCTGTTCTGGGAATGCTATCGACAAAGACTACGCCCCCTTCTAAAGCTTTATAACTGGCCAGGTGTTGCTGCACGACCGCGCGGATCTGTTCCTCGGTTACTCCCCCTTGCATTGCCCCCTTACTGCTTTCCCTTTTCAACCGAACCACGTACGCCCTGGGCACTTCCTCTCCATCACCATCACCTGTCTTCACTCCTAGAACTGCCACGTCTGCGATCCTCGCCTCTTTCTCCAGCAGAAGCGCCTCAATCTCGGCCGGCGCTACCGAGTACCCTCTCACCTTGATCAGCTCTTTTGTGCGACCCACAATAAACCAGTGCCCATCTTTCTCGTAGACCATATCGCCTGTGGGAAACCACCCCTCCTCGTCCACAACTGCGTCACTCCGCCCTTTATATCCGGACAAGATCCCTGGTCCGCGAATGTAGAGTTCTCCTGTCGCTGGTTGCCCTGCATCTCCATTCCCCCACCCAACCACGTCATCCCCGGTCGGACCAACAAGCTTCACCTCATACCCCTCCAGCAGAGTCCCCAGACTCCCCGGATAGGCCCGGTCCCCACACCGATTCTGAAAAACCACCCCCACCTCCGTCATTCCCCAGAGTTGACTCACACACGCATCTGCATGCAAGACCTCCTCACATCGTTTCAAGGAGGCCTCGTCCACCGGCGCACCCGACACTCCAATATATCGTAATGACGCGAGGCTCTCCCGGATTCGCCGATTAGACTTGCCCGCCTGAGCGATCATCTGCACGGCCACCGGGACGAGATAGGTCTCGGTTATATGGAACCGCTCAACAGCCGCAACGAACTCGGCGAGGTCGAATCGCGGTAGAATGTACAGCGGCTCACCGTAGCGCAAGGGGAAGAGGTTATTCCAAAAGTCGCCGAAGGAATGGTAGGCAGGGAGAGCAAGGAGGCGGCGAATTGAGCTTGGATTTGCGTCTAGACCTTGGTTGGAGATGTAAGGAGGTGGGTAATGGACGGTAAGGTGGTGCGAAATGATGGTATGGTGCGTCCGAATCGCCGCTTTGGGGAGCCCGCTTGTACCGCTGGTGGTGAACATTGCTGCTGGTGTCGATTTGGCCAGTTCGACTGTGGGGATACGAAGCCAGGGGGTTGATCCGTGGGTTACTAGTGCAGTGAGGTCGTACTCCGACACTGACTCAGTTGTTATGCTTTCTTTGTTTGCCGAAGGCAGAGGGTGGTTGGTATCTTCATTTGCGAAAGTGATGAGCTCATCGATAGCAGTCTCGGTGACAAGGCAGATTTGACGCGGCGGAGAGGAAGATTCGCAAACGCCTCGAACCATGGAGAGTGTGCTCCCTGCCGTCACAATGATTCGAGGATCAGACAGCTTCACAAAATGCTCGAGCTCGTGGCGTGAAGACGTGGGGCTACAGCCCATATAGACGCCCCCAGCACCAATGATTGCAAGATAGACGGCGGAATGAAGGATCTAGAATCCATCAGATGAGCCTTCATTCAGAGGTCAGGGTAGTTGTACATAATTGTCCATTTGAACAAGCACGCAGTCGCCTGCCTGAACATGATGAGCCTTGAACCCGGCAATCAGCGCGCAGACGAGTCGCTTAAACGGCCCTGCACTGAGCACGCGAGAAGGGTTCCTGCCATCTATGAAGATGGGTGGTCGTTCGCTGTGCACGAATGGGCCGTTGAAGGCAAAGCTGACGAGGTCGTAGGAGTCGGAATCGGACATTGTATGCGACAATAGATAACTGGCTGGATAGTAAACAGAGAACGAAGGAATCAAAGAGACGGTTCTTATACGTTTCTTGAAGTGAGGGGGCCATATATATCTGCGGAGCCCACCCCTTATTTTGGCCGCCACAGTACACTCGAGAATTGTGCTTATTGAACCAATTTTTCTGTATAACTAGCGGCGATGCCAGCAACGCTTCCGAGCTAGGTCGGTGAACCCATCCTTAAAACCAGGTACGATAGATAACATCCATCAAGATACGATACAACACTCCTACGGTATGTACATGCCTCGAGAAGATCCGATTAAAGGGTAGAGTTCATAATGGTCGTGGAACGTTGTACGGCTCATAGCTCGCAGTAGTTCCTCTAAGACCGTTATTCCAGAATCCATCAAACAAAACAGGGAGGTTGCAGGCTTTTGTTAGCGGGTTAAAAAGTATTAGCATATTACTGTGCAGAAATTGAAGGGTGTAGTGGTAACCTGGGGTTATTCAGGTGGCAATAGTGAGAGAGATATGCGCTGTTCTGCCGAGTGAGACAAAAGCAAAGTCATAATTATCTACACGCCGTATGAACTGGCTTACTTGGGAAGTTTAGTGCTGATCACAGTGGCAGCCTGTTACGCTTGATATCTACAACGGCCTTGTCTCCTCCAAGTTCTGATCTGTCCTACAAGCTCTCCTATAGCTCCTATGAACAGAAATGTCGTTCTATGGCTCTGCACTTGGTAGTGAAGATGCTGCAAGCATCTACAGTTGCTCGCCCGATATTCTAAAGCCGGTGGTTCTGTCTCAAGCACAAAGCATACCTCCACCAGCTGGCTATAATCTTCCGGATATCAATCTACTCGATCACCAAATAGCCTTCGCTCGTGGGTCGATAATTGCGTTTGATACCACGCTGACGCGACTTCAGGCAGCTAAGTTCTCCTGGAAAATATCATGTAAGCTGGGGTTACACTACCTAAATGCATATTTGTCTCTCGACCCACTATGAGGAGTCTGAGCAGGAAGGGCAACCATGTTAGGGGCAGATAGGGCCCCAATCGGACGGTTGCTCTCTTTGTTGTACAGCAACCATTCTCATCTGCGTCGCAGGGGTAGAAATCAAGACTAACACCAACTACTGAAGTTGTCACTAAGCTACTGACCTTAGGGAGGCAGTTCACAATCCACACTGAATGACACAGTTCTAGACTGCTTGCAGAACGCGGGTGGCGTAAAACAGCACTCATATGGTATAGCAAAGGCAACGGTACTCAGTGTGTTTGCTAACCTAATGCGCAGCCCATATGTAAGGTGACCAACAGACACTGCCTGTCGATAATCAGCCTTTTCCGCTATACTGATACCAGAATTATGCCTTCTGGTACAAATACCCGCCAAAGTTCGCACCTTGACCTTCATTCTTCCGTTTCAACTAAATAACACCCGACATGACTGCTGGATCACAACAGTGGCGCCAGTTGAGTGTGGCTATCATTGGCGGTGGGATTGGTAAGTGATTAACATGCCTCCATTCTGTCTGTGCCTCAATCTTCCCACCACCACCCGCACCCACCMCCCCCAAAAAAAAAGCCAACACCCCCCCCCAAACAACCCTCCACACCAAGACTTGATGGGTCAGGTAGTTGACTAGGGATTCCAGGGGGCCTCGCTGCCGCAACATCTCTTCGTCGGGCAGGTCACAGAGTAACAATCTACGAACGAGGAGATTACTCCGGCAGTTTAGGAGCTTCTATTAGCTGCGGTGCAAATGGAACTAAATGGCTAAGCGAGTGGAATGTGGATATCTCCCGCGGGAGACCATGTAACATTCGAAAGTTGATTCAACATGCTCTCAACAGCGGAGAAATACAGGGTATCTACGATCTGTCGGAATATACGGGCAAATGGGGCTATGTGCGTCGCTCTGGGCTCATTATAGTACCGTCTATCCATACTGACGGGCCAGGAATACTATAATTTCTTCCGAGTTGATATGCATGCAATGCTGATGGAATCAGCCACTGGACCAGGATTGGGCGAACCCGCTTTGTTGGAACGCTATCACAGCTGTGATTCAGTCGATCATGCAAGTGGAACGGTCAGTTTCCAAAACAAGGTGACTGTCAGGCATGACCTGATTATTGGCGCCGATGGCGTCGGGGTACGTCAGCCGTCCATATGGTGGTCTCACTTATTCAGTAACACATATGTGCCTAGTCATCCGTCCGCCGAGCACTTGGGATATATCCTCAACGCAAACGAGCTACATCTACTTGCTATCATTGCGTTGTCCAGACAGCCGATATCCGTAGGCTTGGGCTTGCAGACATGTCCCAGAATGATGCCCTGGAGTACTGGGGCGGGCAGGGGCTGGAGAAGATTGTCTTCGCTCCTTGCCGTGAAGGCGAAATCCACTCCTTTTATATATTTTTCCCTACTTCTCCGAATGAAAAGGATGAGGAGATAGAGGAGGGTTGGGATTTTGCTGGCGACAGCAGACAGCTGCTCGCACCGTTTCCCACACTCGATCCTGCCTTGCATGCGCTATTTAGCCACGCTGATCCAGTCGACGTTCGACCTTGGCGGCTCTTCGTTCATGACCCCTACCCGTATTGGAGCAGAGGTCGTGCCTGTATTCTAGGAGATGCTGCACATCCTATGCTTCCAGATCAGAGCCAGGGTGCATGTCAGGCAATTGAGGATGCCGCAGCTCTTGGCATTATCTTCGGACGGTCGTATCTGTATACGAATGATATACATTCCGGCTTGCGGCTCTACGAGAAAGTTCGCAAACCTCGGGCTAGCAAGGTGCAAGCAGCAAGCGCCCGAGCAAGAGAGAATATTTCAGAGAGAATTGGCTTCTCTAGTCAAAAGGGTAGCAGATGGTACGCAGTGGCCGACGAGGATCAGAAACTGACTATTGAGGAGATTAACGAGTTCGTGTTTGCCTTACCTAAACTAAGGGATCATAGCTGACGGAGTACCTAGTTATGATATGCATGAACACATCCGGAACCAGGCTGCATTAGAATCCAATGATCTATGCCCAGGACGGCATCTTGCTTCAACTTCCCAGCAGTCATATCGGACTTTTAAAGCTCTTCTTTGATATTACAGAGCTCTATTTTTCTGTTTTATTAAGGCGATCTTATCTAGGTTGATTTAGAGCTCTACCAAGTCTTCTCTGCTTTTTTATATACATGTTGTTCAACTAGACATCTATTGTAGACACACAACGACATAATCTATAGTCAACCATCAAGACCCGCCAGGTGACTTCAGGGCCTAGCCTAGGGAATCACTTCAGGTTCAGTTTCCCTACCCCAGGCCTAATTTAGGTTTAGTTAAAACTATTAGTTACAGTTTTTGCAGGTTTAACTATTTGGTTTAACCAACCCACCATTTTACTTAGTAACCACTAGTTTCTATGATTTTCACTAATAATATTAGTATCATTAGATAGCCCCTAATTCAGGCTATCTAAATATATAAATATTGATTAAAAATACCTAGTGGTTGGTGAGATATAAGGGGAAATCATCTCTATTATAGATTTGTATAAAAGTAGTGCAGAGATATATATATAAGGGCACCAAGGCCCGAGAACCAGATTACCTTTTGAATGATTTTTAACCGCAACCCATTCAACCCTATAGATATCGAATCGATATTTTAGATCTAGATTAGTATGATGATAATTACCATAGATTTCATATAAAAATCATAATTTTATATAAGCATGTTTGATAGGAGGCCCCGGGTGGAATGGTAACATTAAAATAGTTAAAATTCGCGGTTTATCCAACCCGAAACCAAACCGAATCTAACCATGGTTAGTTAGTATAGGCCTAGCTAGGCCTAGCGGTGGGTTTTTGCGGTGAAACCGCCACCAACCCGGATTGGATCCGGTTTGGCTCCGGGTACTAAAATTTGAACCTGAAATCGCAGCGGTTCGGTGCCAACTAGGCTTGAACTCGCCCGAACTCACACCAAAATGCAACTCTATAAATTAAGGATAAATAGATAATGCACCTTTTTTTCCCCTATAATCTAGATAAATTTACTAGAAGCTAAAAAGTGGGACTATATAATTAGCTTAGCTAGCTTAATAACTAGTTAAGGCTAACAGCTAGAAAGGAAACTATAAAGTAGAGATAAGAGGAAAGGGGAGGCGTAGCTGTAATTTCTAATAGGGGAAAAAGAGGGAGGGCGGGGGCGGGTTGGGGGGGGTAGGTAATAGCTATCTAGGTAGATGAAACAACGGTAGTAACTGGAATGGTGTAGAATATTTGGGGGGATTAGGGGGGAAAGAAGAAGTTAGGAGAGAGGATGGTTAGAACAGTAAGGGGATGGTTCTTATATACTAGAGGTCATGATGACCTCCGTATTCTGAGACCAACCCTTGACAAGCCTTGCCTTTCTGATCACCATATCGCTAAGGCAAGTGTCAGCATTTTGGTGATAAAACCCTCCCATGCCGACCTTCAATGAAAATCAGTGTCTGGGTGGGCGGCAACCATATAGATAAGAAGGGGGAGCACTATTGTAAGGAAAGAGAGACTGTTACCATCATAATAATATTATCTTTTCTCTAAAGCAGGAAACGCCATGAGGAAGAAGTAGGAGTCTGTTAATATAAACATAAGAGATATATTTCCCAAAAGGTAGAGAAGAAAATTTAACCCTACATAATATTTATTTTCTTCTATTTTAATCCGTGTGGTAGAATTGGAGAATAACCTGTAAAGGGACAGGTTACCACCGCAGGTTGCTATATCAAGGGCCTGGCTAAGACTTAGAGTTAAAAAGTATTCCACACAGAGTTTAGAAGAGAAACTAGATATTACTTAGCTACCTTAATAACTTTAGAGCTTCCTTGATAATATGAGTAGGTTGTTTAACAGAGATTAAAACTGCTAAGAGATAAACAATCCATAGTCACAGGGCAGACAGGTAAGCAAGACTCTGTGTCCTAATTAGTAAAGCATGATAGAGCATGGCGGGCAGATTAGCAAGGAGCCACTTGCCATAGCTTTCAGTCACGACCAGACAAGCAGCCCCCTGTTCCATGGTACCATGTGGCAACTATCGTTAAAGTCAAATGCACATAAAGCCAGTAGTTGGAAAGTCATTGGCGGTTTTGAACCAGAGCCAGCGATCGACCTTGTCTCCACCAAACGGCGCTCGGAAGATGGGGATTATGGAATTCCGGGGCTGGGGTACAGGGCTTATCAAATAATTAGAGATGGCTGCTAAAGTTTAGTAATTTCTCCATCGAACCCTTAACATAGGACAACAGGACGATGAATGAATGTTCCTCTACAATAACACAGTTCTTCAGTGGGTGCTGCTGTGTAGGGCTGATTTGCCTTCTAAGAGGGTTACAAGGGTTTTGCTGTAGTCTATAAATGGGGCGGAGAAAACATACCATAAGGAATGTAAAATAATTTAGAATATAGTCTGTCCTACAGGAAGGGTGTCCTATTTTGTTTAACTCTAAATAACCTCAACTTATACTAAAAGGGATTTTACAATGTTACTATCTCAGTATACTGAAGAAATGGCCATAAGTGAGCGCTCTTTAACAGGGTCTTTCCCAGACTATTCAGATCTAGAGACTGTCAGCTAGGTTTCAAGATCTATGACTAGCTTTAGCCTTAATACTATTTTACAGATCTCCTCCACTGTTTCTACCCCAGGTCGACAGAGAGAAAGCCAAGGGGTGGCGCTGGATATAATTACAGAAGATAACCCAGCACTTAACCCAACTAGGAAGGAGTTCAACCCATATAAATAGGCTCATACCAAGCTCAACCAGCTTAATGAGGAAGGCATCTTGTGCAAGTATGCAGGTGTGGTCTTTAAAAACCTTAATGTCTCCAGGTCCAGTGCAGCGCTGCAGCTTTAGGAAATAGTTGACTCAGCTCTGCTGGCTCTATTCTGTCTGGACATATACCAAGGGATCATGCATTCAGCACCCAAGAGGCAGATTCTGCATAATTTTGATGGTGTGCTGAGGAGCGGTGAGATGCTCATGGTCCTCAGTCAACCAGGCAGCGGCTGCTCAACGTTCCAGAAGACAGTCTGTGGTGAATTACATGGGCTTGAGTTGCATCCAGACTTGGTCATGCACTACAACAGAATTCCCATGAAGAAGATGCACAGAGAGTTTAAGGGCGAGTGTGTCTACAACCAGGAGGTGGATAAATATTTCCCACATTTGACCATTAATGAGACTCTGGAATTTGCCGCCTTGGCCAGGACACCATCTCATCAGTTGGTGGGTGAGTCTCGCAAGCAATATGTCAAAGAAATAACACAGGTCACCATGGCAGTATAATCAAAGTCTACACCTCCTATAGCCCCACAGAGGCAATAATCTATATTATAACCTAGGTTATCACCCTGGATATGAACATTTGTAATATCAGCAGGCCATTCCCTAACACCACTGCACTAATCCTTGACCCAGACACAATGGAGGAACTGCCCTCTGGCAGCGTTGGGGAGCTCTGCATCAGCGGTCCCCAGCTGGCTAGAGGTTACTTGAATCGCCCTGAGGCGACGAACAAGGCCTTCCAGGGTGATAATTCCAAACAAAGGTTCTATTGTACTGGAGACCTTGCTCGATTGCTGCCCAACGGGGAAATTGAGCTATTTGGACGAAAAGACGACCAGGTCAAAATCAACAGCCACTAAATGGAACTTGGCGAAATCGAGAGCGTTATCATGTAGGCGAATGTATTTAGCTAGTGTGCTGTCATTACTGCAATGGTCCTTAAGAAAAAGTAGCTCATTGCATTCTGTTCTATATCAGTCCAGATACTAGGTGAGGAGATAGGGGAAGAAGACCTGCTCCTGCCCCTAAGATAATTGCCAGAGGTTAAGTAAATTAAAGCACAACTAACTACTCTGCTGTAGTATATAGTCCCTATAATATAGCTTCCTATCTCAAAGCTCCCGAGTCTTACTTTGGGGGAAAATCAATCAGAAGCAACTTATGGCTCTGGTTAAAGGCATGGCTAACAGCGTACTAAAAGGCTACCTACCCCATTCTGAAATGTTGGAGATAAAGTCAGAAGCAGAGCAGGAATTACAGTCTCTATAGTCTGCTCTGTTTGACACACTGGTCAAGGAGATCCACGCCAATTCTACCTTTCATGCTCTGGGGGGTGATTCCATCTCCGCATTAAACCTAGGCAGTATGCTTCGTCGGCGCGGATACAGAATACAGATCAACAATATCCTATCCAGCTCCACGTTGCGGGAACAAGCCGCGCTGATGGTCAAGGACTAACCAAATGCTGATAGCACTGCTACTAAAACTGTCCAGTAAGTGGTGTTCCAGCCACCGGAAGCTTTATATAAATGCCTCATCTAAATCAGTGTCTCCAAGAACAATGTGGAGGACATCTATCCTTACAGCCCTGGCTAGATTAAATTCTTCACACAAGGAAAGAAGCAAGACTGGTTCTGGCAGCTAATGGCTGTTCATATACTACCTGATGACTTAGACTTTGATTGTTAGATCTATCTAATGACTCAGCTGATGAAGAATAACTAGATCTTACACACTCTGTATATCCAGACCAACACTAAGAACCTATAGATACTAGTCTAAGTTATGCTTAAGCACCCCCTTCTTAATCTTACCTATTGATCATACTATACAAAGGAAGAAAAGCAGAGCATATTAGAAGCTAAGTAGTAAACACTATTTAATCTAGCTAAGCTATTCATGTGGTACACATTACTTAAGAACTTAGAGGGCATACATGACCTAGTTATTAACTTACACTATTTATCCTATAATGGGATACTTCTTTATATTTTTAATAACTAATTCTAAGCCCTTAATCAGAACCAGCCTATCCAGCAGCCAACCCCTTTTAAAGACTTTATCACTCACTTCCTAGGCACACTGAAGCAGCCCTAGCTTAACTACTAGATCTGCCTTCTTTAAAACCATTACTTTAACTTCCCATTGATAGTTAACTAACCAAAGCTGTCTAGCACTGAGGTTACAAAGATTAACACATCCCTGGGCATTAACAAGCTGGCCAGATCCACAGGGGTAATGGCCCTAATCATGTTCTAGACAGCCTACTCTCTCCTCCTGGCTCACCTTAGCAGCGCACGGGATGTAATCTATAATAATCTTATAACAGGGTATAACATCACCTTCAATAACCTGCAGCTTATTAATAGGAACTGTGCTAACTTCCTGCTGTACTATTTATATGTGGCGGAAGATATAACTATTAAGGCCCTGCTCCAGTCCACATAGGCTGACTTCTGGGCCTTAATAGAGAACAGCCTCATGTCCCTTGGTGAGATATATAAGGCTCTGGGTTGTGACTGGGATACTACTGCTACTAAATGTCTCTTCTACTTCCATCTATTTAAGCCTGTCACCGCTTAGCAGGATCCAATGCGCTGGGTTATCATGAAGATGAGCAAGAACTGGATGGCTTTTAACTATGCTATCTAGATGGAGGCAGTCAAGGCAGTGGCCAAGGGTAAGTATATTATGTAATTAGACTATGATAAGAGAGCATTCTCATCTAAGGAGGCTTAGAGAGTGTTGGTATAGTATACTTAGTGCCTAGATGGCATGGTGAGAAGAATAGTAGTTAGGGAGCTGGGGGTCTAGTAGTATATATCTTAATATATTTTACTACACAGTTATATCTAAATATTTGAATATACTAGTTTATTTAGCTATTAGAGAGTCCATGAGTAGTAAAGTCTCATGCCTATGTAGATTATTTAAACCAGTTTATTAAGTCTATACTAGAATATATATTTATCTAGGTCTATTAATTATTAGGTACATCCCATCTTATATTTTCCTGCACTATAACTTTTAGGTTTATTTCTACTATTGCTTTTAACAGCTCTACTTCTTCCTTATACTATATATGAATTAGGAGATTACTACTGCAACCTAAAGGAGTTATAGATTTAAGTATAGGATAGCTGGCTTCAGGTATAGTTACACTGTTCTAAATAGCTAAGTATAATTTCTGATCTCTAAAGTTTTCTATTAAAAGATGAAAAGTAAGCTAAAAGATTATAAGATCCCTTTAATAATTAGGGCTTCTATCCTAGGAAAGCAAAGCAGCACACCTTCTATAAAAGACTATTTCTAGCCTCAGCAACTATGTTAGCATACAGTCTACTAAGCTTATCCTTAAGGTCTCCATCTAGCTTGCTAATCAGCTCCCTAAACAGGCTAAGGTAATTGGTCTAGTCCAGTAATAGTAGGTAGGTATCAGCTAAGAATTCCTCCTAAATTATATTCTTCAGGCCTTGTTCCTTAAATATCTCTGCCAGAGCCACGGACCACCTACAATATATTATAAGCAGTCACTGTAGGCATGATGTAGTGGTCTTACAAGAAGGTTAAGGAAGGAAGAATCAGACTTATAACAGGGGGGTTACAGCACAGAAATACACATCAAGGCACTGCAGAAGCTTTTTAGCATTCTCAGATGAATTAGTAGGGTCTGCCTTGATGATCAGGCACTTGCTGGCGTTGTCATTAGGCTCCTCCTATTACAGGTAGCCACTGGGCTCTAGATATCATAGCAGATGCCGTCAGCCCAGCCTTTCTCATAAGACCATTATCCACAGATGGAGCCAGCACATACTGAGCAGTTTCATCATGTTCTGTATGACAGGCACTGGATCGCTGCCTGCTTGGTTGACCACTTGCACGAGCAGTCGCGCATCCAGATGTAGTGCTGCAGGCTCAGATGGGTCGAAGCCGCGACATTGCGATTGAGGCGATATGGATCCAACGCTGAGGATACTGAGTTGCCGTTGGACTGGGTCATTGTGATACTGAGAGAGACAAGACCAAACTGGAAATAATATGCCACTATTGGACACACAATGGTAAAGACCTCTGATTATTTAAGTATGGAGAAGCATTCACCACTGCTAGCCAGGCGATCTAATAGTGATATATCTTGTTCTCTATCATCTCTGCCCCTCACAGGGAGCCCTGCGTGCTTGTCTGGTCATACACCCTCGCCGCGCTGAAAACAAAGGGCCATCATGGCCTGCCGCTGGTATTAGGTAGCAGGTCCCCCTATGAAGGTCGGTACAGCCCGCGTAGACGAAAAAGCATGGAGTGGCCTAGCTTTACCGCCAGGGGCGAAAGAGTTGATTGATACTCCACCCACACGAGTCATCGTTGCCTTGGCACATTCTCCCCGCACGCTTGACAATTCTTGTATAGATGCAAGTTAACGGTCCTTCTCGTCCGCATCAATTTAGACTGACAAATGTTCCGGCTTAGGCAAGTAGTTCACTATATAGCTGATGTTACCTCGTAGACTTGGGTCATTAAAGGTCTTTCAAATTCAACTTCTTGAACAGTAGGTTGCTGCGGTTCTTTCACCTAGGTCACAGACAGAAAAGGTGTATCAATCTGCATGATCTGCATGGATCTACCAGTAAGGCTTGGTAAGCTTCAATTTGTCCTCATCAGGACGGAAATTACTGACTAGTTAGCAAATTCAGCCACACGGAGTTTAAATAGATGCTGGACCTGTCAAGTCTAGAAGAAGAAATGTGACAAGACTCAGCCAGTGTGCCATTCATGCACTTATTTTGGGTTAGAGTGCTATAGATACAGCCCAAGACCCAAGTAGATAGATAATGACAGATAGCAGAAAGAACAGGCTGCAAAGTTTAAGCACATTATCAGCCAACAGAAATCAATAAATCAAAAGGAAAGGCTGCCTCAGGAAGCACAGGATTTTAATCTGAATCAGGGGCTAGTATTAACTAAAGACGCCCCTGCACACATAGCACCATTATCCGCTTCCATACCTCTCCCTTTTAATGATCGCAGTGATATCGGAGGTCAGGACCCATTTCTTGATATGATTTTAAGTTCCTTTATGGATCCAACGTGGAGTGCACCGCCTAACAGTGACTATATAGCTATTGCACCCTGGTCCTTGGTGAATAAAGAAGCTCACCAACACCCACCTGCATTTTTCCAGAATATAGACTCAACGCAGAACTCATTATCGCCCAGGTTGTCTGGAGATTTATCATGGCTTGCTCCTGACATGATGGGTGTGCACAACGTTAAGGCTATGCTGAATGTAATCATGCCACAAGATAAGATACAATTTGCCACGAGTAGACAATCCCTCTCCATTGTGGATGAATGGGCATAGGACTCATCTTTAAATAGTAATGGCTTCCCCAGTCAGGCTGGTGTAGATGATAATATTACTAGAAAACCCACTGCTCCAGGACCTCTGATTGAGCCAGTCTGACATGGAGGAGCAGAGGATGTGTTATTTATGCACTACTTAGATTAGGTATTCTACAATCTAGTACCCATTTTACCTCTCCCGCAACCCCTGAGGAAGAGGTTACCTATTCTCTATTTTAAGGATGGTTAAGCCTGCTTATCTTGCAACCCTGGCCCTTAGTGAACAAGACCTTCTCTCTATCCATCCATACTAGGGCAATGTTCTCGCCAGCCTGACTCAACTGCGCGCCAAGGGTGGCTACTATAATCTAGCAGCTTAGGGAACATAGCGCTTACTGTAAGAATCACATACATGGAATAAAAGTACTTATATAGTTTATAATATCAAGTCTCTCGCGTCCATCCTTCAGCTCTTATTCTAGGAGGTATATGTCCTCCCTTACTTCCCTTATCAAGTCTCAAAGGCTCAATGATTAAGCTCTTTGCCGGCGGCAGAGGGAATTAGCAGGTCCTCCTTCATAAAGTCACTCGCCTGATTCCCAGCCTTCTAGAGGCGCGAACACCTCTCATGAAACCAAAACTAGCAGGGTCTAACTATACAAACCTTCCACGCCATATAGACACACTCTCTCTTAATAATCATTATGTAACTAGTATCTTGCTTAGCTCCTTTATATTACTTAATATCATTGCATCTACTTCTACTTAATAGCCCCCCTTTCTTAATATTGACCATGCACAGGCATTACGTAATCTGTATGTATCATTAGAAAGCATTATAGGCTGTAGTAACTTAGTCATGGCACTTATCTTTAAGATCTCCTCACTAGATAGGTGGAAGGAAGAATCGCAAGTAGTGCATAAGCTAAGTATTATTAATCTGGTGGAGTGTGGCTGCCAGATTTAGGAGTGCCTTCAGCAGGAACTTATGGACATGGACACATTACTAGAAACCAGCCTATTATTATTAAATTACTTAGGAGCGCTCTCTGCCCCACCTAATACCTAATATTAACAGGCTTTTTGCCCTTGCAGCACTCATCTATCTCCATGTTATTATCTTAGGGGCACACCCAGAGCTGCTGGAGATCATAGATGCGGTCTTACAAGCTATAGCTATTTTCAAGGGCCTATGGGACCCAAGGCTGCTATAAAGTGTCTTAGTGTGGCTATTTTGCGTGTCTAGCTGCCTAGCCCCGGGCGAACAGCAGAACTCCCTTTATGACCCTTTTACAGCAGCAGAGATTACAGAATTGACAGTTAGTATGTGTTTTAAGGTGTTTAAAATCATGGAGAAATGTTGGGAAGCCAGAAAGTCAGGCCCCTTTAATTGCGACTGGGCTTTAGTAATAAAACAGCAGGGTTATTATGTTTTGCTCAGATAGAACTATCATATAGAAAATAGAGAAGTCATGGTCGCAACAAAATTTCAAAGGCAGCTGTTTCTTCTTCCAGATGGAATTCCGGAAGTTGAGAATCCACATACACCCTCGTCTTGCCCTTTTTATATTTATAAGCTAGTTGTCCACGTCTCTATGTCTCTCTTGCTGTACTTGACCATTACTGCGCAACGATATACAAATGTGGCTTCTACAGAGCAACTTAGCACCTTACCTGGCGAAAAAATTAGCACTACGTAGCGGAATCATTGTCTGTTGGGATTGAGTGGAACATTTTACTGGTACTCAACGCTGTAGTGTCACCCCAGCCCATACCGGTGATTGACCTAACGAAGTATTCAGTTCAAAATAGACACTATGAATAACAAAGGACAGGTCCTATCTCAGGACCGCTTGCTGAGGAGCTGCGGCTGGATAATTGACATATCCACGAATGTTGTTGACTAATCAGGGTTTGGTAGAGAGAAAGGAAAGAACAGGCTGTCTCAGCAATGTCAGCCACAGGTGTAAAGCTGAGAGTGGCGCCATTTTTACTGTAGTATTGTTGGGTAGACAAAGACTCCATGCTTAAGAGTATCGTTAGCTATTCAAGCTTACTGCGGCCAGCGTAGGGTTGGATCCCCTCAAAATTTGCCCCCAAATTTTTTTATCGACATCGAATGCTCTGGAACAAAGATTACAGGTTTGTTAAGCTATCCTAAAGGCTAGTGTCAGGGACACAGAAAGTGAGATATGAAGCTGCAGGTGAGGATCGGTGTAAGACACTGTTAGTAGATAGGACCGGTCAAAGCCATCCGCCAGCGACTAGATGAATGTGAGGGTCCCAGTAGCTCCTTTGCTTCTCCGATTTCTCAATTCCTGCACTTTTTACCTACTGGAGCACTTCTGATAAGGGGGCTGATGACTGCTTTTGATGTTCTTCACCATCAATGCATGGACCAGGAATATTACCAGACGGCTCGCACAATTCTGTTTAGGGTTTTGTTTTCATCTCCTGTAAAATAGGAGTACATTATACTCTTCATCTCTGCTCCATAGCAAAGCTGAGGAGCTGTATTTGTTAATTACAACAGCCCATGCATGAGAGCAAAATGAGGAAAGTCATCTCTTCTAGTTATGATTGAAGGCTTTGCTAACTGAAATAAGAGCCTAAATTTAGGACGCCTGTCCTACCAGTTGAGATTTATTTGAGTGAACTAAAGCAAGTGCTGCAAGACCCTGTCCCAGGAGGACTTATGGCAGCTTCTCTCTCCTAAGACTTGACTTGTCACCTGTAATCATCTTTTGAATATTTCTGTGACTATTCATGACATTTGTGCTGTTGCAGATATGGTACACACAATACCCAGTGCGATGCTCTGTGTAGATGGGGTAGCGCTGGCGCCACACCAGCCCATTGACCTGAAGGCGCTGGATGTGGATTTCTACTTTTGCAGCTGGTACAAGATCTTCAGCCCTCATATTGCCCAGCTGTACGCCCATCTGAGGGTTCAGAAGAGGTAAATGATGAGCATTAATCATTCAATTCCGAGCCCATATGCTTACGATACCAAACTGCACCCGGGGATGGGATGTTTTGAACTAGAACAGTTTGATCGCCGTAGTGGACTATATCAAGTCTATCGGCTGAAGCAGGATTGTTCACCAAGAGATGGTTCTTCAGGAGGCATTTTTGTGTTATCTTGATAGCAGGATGGACACTTTCACTGTTTATGGGGAACTGTATTCGGACCCATTGAGGCGCATATCCCTGGTCAGCTTCCGTGTTGAAGGGCGATCATTGAAGAAATTAAAAACATCATCCAGTGCCACACCAACTTCCGCATCGCCAGTGGACATGCATATTCATTTTGGTATCTTTATGAAGTCCTTGGGCTTCCAGAAGATGGGGTGATACGTGTGAGCTTCGCCCATTATAACACTCTGGAGGAAGTGAAAGGATTTACGAACATGTTGGATCGGCTGCTCGCGAATGAGTTGGATACCCTACCCTTCCTTGTGGACTATGCAGAATGTATTAATAATTATTACGTGTACTGCGCGACTTCAGGTCTGCACTGAACCCTGCTTTGCACTACCTGCCGCATCGAATAGGCAGCTGTCCGAAACGTCCACTGCACAGTCACCATGGAAAGAAGTATTGTTACTTGGTTGAGAGTATCTGCTGTGTTTTTGGGCTAACCATACCCAATCCGCATGGATATGGATAGTTACCCATTGGGTGCACATGATCTAGGGCCTCTCCGAACTGATAGGCTTATCTAACTATATCTAGGGCTAGATAGGCATATATCTTTATATATATAAAATAAAATATCAGATTTACTAGGAAGAATTCGAGTTGAGGTAAATTTCAGATTTTAGATGAGGGTGGTCAGGATGGTGGTGGTAAGATATTTATATATCCACACCACTTTTCATCCTAACATTAGGGCGCACCCCTACCCCCATATATCAGGCTATTTTAGTGTATACAATAGGTAATATATAATATTTATATATCTAACTATTATATTGTCATATAAAATATATAGATATCTTAGGTGTGTGGTTAGAATACTAGAAAAATAAGTGGTAAATGGTAATCTAAATACTAGAGGTTACCTAACAAGGCGGTATGGATATATCCTCAGCATGGATATGAGGGTGGGTTGCATAGGTCGTGGATCAACCCATAATCCACCTAGGTTGGATCAAACATCATGCGGATTAACCCATATCCAATCCACAACCAGTAATCCACAAGACATCCCTGGAACCGTTGAAAGTTTAGTTCAATGGCGTTCGACTGTGGTGGTTCCCCAATCGCACTTATGACCCATAATGGTTTAGGCTGGAGATTAGGTCACGTAATCCACAGCTGAGCGGCCACTACAACCGAACGCCACTTTTCTCCGCATCTTACCATGTTGTTGAAGATTTCAACATAACGAACAGAGTAGTACATTTCCTTGCTTTCTTCTTCAATTTCTGCTCATTTCCAGCACGCAAAACCTTGATTTTTAGTTGTAAAAGATGGTTTGCATTCATTGCCATGTGGCGTACATGTACAAAGTTAAAAGATGATCTTCTCAAGTACCTGGCCTTGATTCAGTGGTTTGAGACCAGCTTCTGCCAAGCCATTGCATATTTTCGTTTCAGTAAAGACTGCTTCACGCGTGGGAGGATAGAGTTAGTGAAAATCCTCTTTATCAATATAGTTATTTCCAGCCACTATCTTTTCGACCAGTGCCCCATACGCGCATTTCGGCGGCCCAAAAATACCAACATCCAATGGTTGAAAAAGCGCTCAGCCGTGGATTATGTTAACTGATTAACTATTAGTGTGGGATAATCTACGCGTTCAACATCCACATCAAGTGATTGTACCCATCCAGTTAAGCAGTTTTTCCTACCACATAACTATCCTGCGGCTCAACCACTAGAGCAATAATTAAAGAGAGAATTATTTTGGCCATGGTCAACGCGGGCAAGCGGTCAAAATGTTGTTTCGCGTGTCGACAGCGTCGAGTCAAGGTACAGTGACCGGTCTGAATGTGCTGTCAAGGTCTGTCAGGCTGACAGTGGTATAATTCCTCAACTTCAGTGCGATTTGCAAAAGCCATGCTGTCGACGTTGCACGGACGGCGGACAGGCATGTCCCGGCTATCCCGACTGGGACGTCATGCTTCGCGTGCAGAACACTTATGCCGAGAGGAAAGTGCAGATGCGGGTTGAAAAAGTACTAAGAATGAAGAGAAGAGAGCAGCTTGCAAGAAGAACAGCCATAGCCATCATCCCGCCAAGAGTTCACATTGCTACCGAGGTACACAGCTGGAACCATTTCTGCAGCGACTATGCAATCAATTCTGGCATTACTTTCTTCAACCTACTTCCTGGGTTTTATACCAATAGCTCATCGACATGTTGCCAGGAAGCGCTCCATGCCGTCAGCCTGGCTAGCTTGGCTCTCAAACTTCGCCAATCCGGATTGATGGCTCAGGCAAGGCGGCACTACGGCAAAGCGATTATAGCGCTCAATGTTACATTGAACGATCCGGTTTTGACTGCGGATGACTCAGTGCTGGTAACTCTGCTTCTGTTTTCACTCTTCGAGGTGAGCTATGTTCTGAGCTTGTCTTATCCTCACAATCTCTCTGAAAGGGCTCAAATGCCAGATGCTAAAAGGCTGGTTAGACCATCGTGCCGGACTACTTGGACACTACACTACCAGATACAGAGTTCCAATGTCATATCCACTTCCGCGGAGCGTTGATGTTACTCCGATGGCGAGCTGAGCAGGGACGGCGTTGCGAACTGGATAGACGCGTTTTTGCATTCTTCTCTCATATCTGTGTACGATCGAGTCGATCCTTCAAACTCCCTTTACAGTCAACGGTCAGCTGACATTGGTATTCAGTTGATGAGTATGTTCGTCGATCATGGGCTCCACGACGCCAAGTGGTCATCCCTTGAGAAATTCACAGCTCCTTGGATAAAAGATCCTCTTTTGGAACCAATCCTCGGTCGGTCGGTCCATTTCAAGCGGCGGGCTCAAGCTCAAATCACCGCAAGGGGCGATCAAGCATATAGACTGGAGGTGCTACCGCAGCTCATTAGGGATGGTATCAGTGTCAGTGAAGGCCTCGAAGCTACGGCCATAAGCGTCAGATCCTCTTCAGATCCAAATCTGCCGTCAGGTCAACAGCCCACAGCATTCAACCACATGTTCGAGGTATCCAACAAAACAACGGAGGCAATTGTGAGAAGCTTATATCGGGCTGTTAGATACCATGTCGTCGAGTTGGTCCTAGACCTCATCGCTCGCATGAAGGAGGAAGTCGACACCACCAGCCACGAATTCAATGGTCAGGTTTACGTGTCAGAGAGGCTCGTTATGATCCTTGAACAGATCTGTGGAGATATTTGCGCTGTTCTCAACTTTGACAGTAAGCACCATATCGAGGAAGATAAGGTAGGAATGGCCCATCGAGCATTTGGCATGTTCTTCCCTATGGTAGTCCCGCTGTTCTCTTCGCTGGCTGGAGAGGAAAAGAGAGGATGGCTCCGAGAAAAACTGCGACTCATCGGCGAAAGCACTGGATTTGGCTTGGCAACATTGGCAGCCCAAATGATTAATCCAATTGATAGTTAACTATGCGAACCTAATGGTATTCTGGTCACAACTTATTGAGTTCTCTGTGTTACTATGGAATTAGAAGGTTCGCTGCTCGCACGAAGTACCCGAAATGGTTTAGCGCCTTTAGTCAAACGGTTCACCAGTAGCCACACAGTCCACACTGCTACCATCTTATGTACCCACCGGCTTCGATAGATACACACTCGCATAGTATTATTGATGTCCTGCTCTGCTTGTTCGCGCAAAGAGTCCGAAATGGTATGGCAATTCTTAGTGGCGCAGCCGGCATGCGCATTGTCCGGTATCCGAGTCCACACTCCAGCCGTCTTGAGCATGCACATCAGTCATCTCCCCTGGGCCAGAGGCGCATGAAATAATTATAAAAGGGCCATGATCTGCCTTTGAACCAGTTGTAGCATCCTTAACTCCATTACCTTTTGTGCCCTTACTATAACCCTTTCTAAATCATTGTGAGCATATGCCCATACCAACCATGGCGCCCCCCTACAACCACGAGACCAGGGCCAGTGAGCTTGTCCGCCACTACGCCCCTCAAATCGCCGGAAAGATTATCCTCATCACTGGCGTCTCCCCGGGAAGCCTCGGCGAAAGCTTCGTAAAGCAAGTCGCCGCAGCACACCCGGCGGTTTTCATCCTCGCCGGCCGCTCAATTCCCAAGATGCAGGGTCTTGTCGACGATCTTAGCAACACACACCCAAGCATCAAGGTCAAGCCCCTCGCCCTGAGCCTTCTCTCATTTGCCGACGTCCGGAAAGCGGCAGAGACCGTCAACTCCTGGACTGACGTGCCTCACATCGACGTCCTGGTCAACAACGCCGGAATTATGGCTGTGCCGTACAAACAGACCGAGGATGGTTTCGAGAGCCAATTCCAAACAAACCATCTCAGCCACTTCCTCTTCACCAATCTCCTCATGGGGAAGATCCTGGCCTCGAAGACTCCGCGCGTCGTGACGGTCTCTAGCGGTGTGCACCGCGTTGGCCGTATCCGCTGGTCAGACCACAACTTCAACGAGGGCAAGCACTACCAGCGGTGGCTGGCGTACGGCCAGTCAAAGACGGCCAACGCCCTAATGGGTCTTTCGCTTACCAAGAAGCTCGGCTCCCGCGGTCTCCTCTCCTTTCCGATGTGCCCGGGGGTCAGTTTCACGAACCTCGCGACGCATGGAAGCGATGACCTGGCTTCTTTCTCTGCGGACCTCTCGGAGATGGATAACTTGTATGGAAATAAGTGGTTGTGGGGCATGGAGGAGATGAAGATCAAGGACTTGGACCAGGGCGCTGCGACGCATGTTTTTGCTGCGTTTGATACTGTTATTGCAGAACACAACGGTGCCTTCTTGAGTGATTGCCATGTTGCCGACCCGGATCTGGAAGAAGTGTACTCCTGGGCAACGACAATTTCCAGCTGAGTTAGCTTTCTACTTGACTGTGAATAGTGTTTAGCCTGGATTTTATGTTCACTGCCAGAGTGCGCAGAGGGTGGCCAGTCTTGTTTTTAAAAAGGAGATGTTAGCTATTTATAAGCCAGTTTTTCACCTGAGCATCTCCATTGTCACCCTCAACTTTGTCATTTGTAAGGATTCTGGAGACATTGCAGCCAAGTGTCTGCAGCTATGTGATTATAATAGCTAAATAACCAGCTTCGGTCTGTGTACTGCCCAGGATAGGATAGTCATATGGTCTAATAACAGTGCTTGTATATGAGGTGTTTTGTCGATGTGGGCATGAATCCATTAATTATTAAATTAATCCACCCCCGGGGATATTAAAGAATAACTTAAAGATAATCTCTCCCATTAGCCCTACCTTGAAGTATGTAGAAATAGCAGACTACACAGGTGCATGCATGACCATAGAAGTAATTGGTTAGCTCTCGTTGTGCTCAGAGGCCGTTGGACATCAGATACACCATACCAAAGGGCTGAATATCTGTGCTATAGTCGCGTTTCAGCCTTATGTACGACACACAACGCGCTTAAGTTCTCATTGGCACATGAGAAAGGTACGATGATCCAGCGCCTGGCTGCTGGCCGCTTGGGAAGCCTTTGCTATAAACCTGTTACTGTTTAAGAAGTTGGTATAGGAGACAAACAGCCGGAAGTGGGACAGTTTGATCATAAAGCTAGTCAAAGCGAGTAGAATTCCTGCATGCTCTATTAATAAGATCATATGATAGCTTCCATCTTCCATCCGTCCTTCCCTAACAGCTCTAGTGTTATGCGTAACTGGTCACGTTGACATGTCTTGTCAGAAAACTGCCACATCCCCAGTGTCTCCAGCATGTTGGTCCTTTCGCCCTTCTTCAAGTTACCGTCCTTTAATTGCTTTCTCCCTCCTTCCGGCTGACTCATCCGGTTCTGAATTAATCTCCATCTTGACATCAAGAGACTTTCAGTGCAGCGTCAGCACTGGTGGTGCCCGTAAGGGCAGTGGTAAGAATCTCCGGCGTAAAGAGTTGACAGCCCGATGCTTGAGCATGATTATGGCATGGAGGACCTGTCTGTGCGATCTGTGTCGCAGTCCGATCCGGTGGCCTTGCGTTGTGCATTGACAGCCTTGACGAGCTTGCCCAGAATGGCATACTCCAGCTTCAGCTTGACGCTATAAACCAGGCCCTTTAGAGTGACTTGAATTGCGTAAAACCCCGAGTACTGAACTGCAACGAATGAAGCATCCAACAGGATGATAAGGATGTTGATAACCAGCAGCTGATGCAGTATACCCCAGTAACGATTTCTGACATGAGTCTTGAGAAACTCGACTGTTTTGCAGATGTATAAAACTGATAGCAGAGCCTCCTGACAAAAGAATGCAATCAACTGTATCCTTTCCATAATTTCATACCCTTTCACGAATGCCTGGGGACGGCTCGGTGCATTGGCACCAAAGGCAAGCACTGTGGTAGGGATATGGAGTACAAAAGCGTTGACGATGATCATGTAGAGAATACCATGCAACAGCTTTCGACTCCGAATCAGGAGGTGGAGTCGTGACCATAGCACCATAGACTGGCCGGTCACCATGCAATACCATCCGATGCTCGCAAACGTTAATGTGATGTTATTGTTGTGGACGACGTTGGAAAGTTTGAGGATCAGGCCAAGATTATAGGGAATGATTCCAAGGCTTGCAACCAGCAAGGTCCAAAAGTAAACGTCCCTCCGTTTGAATCTGCTAAAGCAGAGAACCAGGAGCTCAATGACGTTGTAGGAGGCAATAGTGGTGAAAACAGAGACAAAGGCGGACTCCAGACATGCGCTGCTAGTGTAGATACCCTCTGTGAGCCCATGGTCGCTATCTGACGCGGTGGAATTCGACATGAATGTCCACACGCTAGGAGGTGGTTACAGAGTGCATCCAGGTAAGAGAGTCGGAGCGTGGTGGTAGTGATCGAAATTGGCCCAAGCACATAAAGAGCCAGAAGGCTGGGTTTTGTTAAACCCTCGATGCACGTCGGGTGATAGTGTGGCGAAAACAGTAGCTACTTTAAGCTTTTGGTCTGACAGTCTAGTCGGAAGTGTGATCTGGGCCAGATCGGGGCCATTCTCTTTTTGGTATCCTCCAGAGCACTGATTGACCCTCTGGCAAGCCAAGGTGGCGGATAGGCAACGGATCTTAAGAACTTAATTGGCGAGGAGTTATGGTCACGGCATTGGCCCCAAAGTTAGACACTTTACTCCAATCGAACTCTTCATAGCGCTGTACTCTTGGAGCTCTGCACAAAAGGCCGCCTGTGTGGCTGAGGCATTATTGAATGCGTCCCCCGGGAAGGAAGACCTTTCCCAGCCGGATTAGGGTCAGTTTTGAGCCGTTGAGAGATTTACAGTCCTCACGGGCCGTGAGGGCCGAGTGATTTCATGTGTGCTATGCACCTGCTTTGAAATATCCGAGCAATGGAGTCGAGGTCGCTGTTCCGTAAGGCTACGGCAATATCTCAATCATGCGAGCCACACATAAGCATCAGTTGCACTGTTGCTGTTGGTGGAATATTACCACAAGGAAAGAATAACCATATAGCTCACGCCAGACAGGCGATTTTGGGTTTGCCTGTGGAAGGCGCTCCCTCAGGCTGTGGTTCTGGACCACGTTCTGACCATGTTTCTCTTAAACTTAAAAATCCGCCACCAAGCATCGAAGACCTAAAAGACCATGACGATTATATTCAGTGCAGCGTGCTGGTGTGCAAGACTTATCACCCGCCTGTCCTCTCAATTCCAAGCCATAGACCATGCTGATACCGCTTTGCTGGTGATCATTCCCCCATAACAGACAAGATACGTGGTCGCCTACCATGTCTGGCAGCAACAACGGCCTCTCTGGAGGCATCTATACTAGCCGGCGGTGTCTAGATGAAGTCATCTTTGCGACCTTCATCGGATTGGCTTGGTACAATGCGATAGAGCTCGTTGTGCTTTGTTTTACAACGTTCAAACGGTGGAAGGGCACTTACTTCTGGAGTCTTCTTGTCGCATCGACCGGTATTATCCCATACTGCCTCGGCTTATTCCTGAAGTTCTTCAACATTGTCCATCATAATTATCTCGGAACACACACCCTGGTGACCATCGGTTGGTGTTGCATGGTGACCGGCCAGTCAATGGTGCTGTGGTCGCGACTCCATCTGATTCTGCTGAACCAACGAGTCCTACGCGGCATCCTCTACTTGATCATCTTTGATGCAATAATATTCCATATACCGACTGCGGTGGTTGCATTCGGCACTAATGCACCAAGCCATCCTATTACTTTTGTCAAGGCATACAATGTTCTTGAAAGAGTACAACTGGTTGGATTCTGTATCCAAGAGACATTCCTATCCGCAGTATATATCTGGGGTACATTGAAGTTCTTAAGGCATTCTGATGGAAACCGTTATCGGTACATCTTGCATGAACTCCTTGTCATCAATGTGATCATCATTCTTCTGGACGGCTCCGTGGTTGGCACGCAATATGCCGGCCTGTATTCCGTGCAAACCACCTTCAAGGCGGTGGTGTATAGCATCAAGCTGAAGCTTGAATATGCTATCCTTAGGAAGTTGATCAAGGCTGTCAAGGTGCCTCCTACACCAGAGCGACGCTCACCAGACCATGCCAAACCAGGGAGCAGTACATCGGACCAATCCGAAACAGAGCAACGCACTGCAAGCTCGTATGAATGCACAGGGGCTCGCCTAGGCATGCCGGAGGTCTCGCCGGAGCCTTCAAGGGTCCTTTCGACAACCACCATAGTCTTTGCTCAAAGCTTACAGGCGATGGGGCAAGGCTCCCACCGGGAAAAATACAGCGATATTTCAACGCTGATAAGGCCCAAAGGGAATGATTAGGAAAAGGCAATTGCACTACTTTTTACTAGAAGATCTCGCAAAAATTGCCCCACCGATCTGTGTATGTACTGTCACACCATGGGTTCTCATTCTCTCCTCGGCGTTCAGGTAGAAGGAAATCGGAGTAATTAAGTGATGAGTGTCCATAAGGACGACTCCCTCTTAGCTTGACTATTCCCTGTGAGTAATCAATTTTGGCGGTATGCCGTGAATATCAGTTGCCAAAGGTGGAGCCCTTTCGCAGGTGATATCTCACCAGGATACAGGTTCTCTAGGGCCTAAAGCATCCCTTCAAGCATTATGGCAGCATGTGCTTGCTTATTGATAGCTGTAGGCAGAGACATGATCGATGACGGATATCAGTCGTGGACCTTAGAACCTGGAGATTGCTTTACGCTTTGAATAACACAGTGCACTTTAATACTGCTCTGAATCATACCGTAGCTCCACCTTAGTTGGGAGGGCACTCTTGCAATTCATTGGATCACATCCCGATATTGGACCATCTCTTGAATCTTGAGTTCAATGACAGAAGATGTACGATGTATCCACGACGGCACAGAAGCTTCGACACGGACGTGGAGCTAATACGCCTGGAGAGAAGTAAATGGCTAGGATGAGTTTATTCTTTGACCAAGCCGCGGCAGGTTTCATACTTAGAGAACATCCAGCATGAACAATTGCGAAACGCTCAACGACTATGTTCGCTCGATTATGTCTCAAGCAATCCAAAGCCTCAACCAGAAGATGCAGGTAGATAACTGAGGCACTCGATAAATGGAACCAGCTCATGTGGGGACGCCTCCATAAAAGTGCTCGTTTTCAGGATACCCCAAACTCATCTATGATGCTAATTGCGACCATATAGAAAGGGTTCGCCGGTTCCACGGTGCTCAGGCACCTCGTCAACGCCGGGTTCACAATGGCCAAGTGCCAGAGGCGCTTTTCCCAAACCACGGAGTCACCTCCAGGGTAAACAAACCACAAAGAATAAGCGACAGCAATTGTTGCGACATCGTTAGGCTCGATATTGTGGATTCGACCTCGGATCCGGTAATGCAACCTATACCCTAGCTATTGTCTGTCTTCTTTCATATGTACACAGTATCAGGATCCCGGCATCTTGGGAACCGATCAGTCTTCCCGATGATCTCGATATTCAACGGAAGCTGTGACAATAGCATGACCGCCCAGAGTGCCTGGAATAAACTCAGTCAAAGCGAAGTTATGCAACACGGCATCGACTTACCTGGAATATCGTCTCCACGATGACCACATCTCCTCCCTCGATTGATAAGAGCCATGCCTCCCAGCTAGCCCCGAAGAAACCATCCGGGCACCGCTTCAGAGCCATCGGGCTGACCTCTTCGTATGCCAATGAGTCCCCGTACGCAAGTGAGTCCCGCCCTGGTCCAGGCACTCTATGTACCAAGCGAGCACGGTTCTCATTGTGATCGGGGCCCTTCTGGCCGAATCGAGCGTGAAAGGCCTCTCTTACATCCACTGGCACTGCCAGTTCTAGGAAGTCCCATTCGACTCCTTGGAAACGTTCCGGTTCTTCAGCCAGCTGGGCGAAGACGTCGTGAATCGCTTCAGCGGCTGCGATGGCATCTGTCCTGAGATATTGACGTGGGATTTTGCCGAAATGGTCGAAAGATCGCTCCTCCTCTGGACTCGGTCGGTACTTGAAGCTATGCGTGCTCAGGTGGCCTAGCTGAAGTGCCTTGCTATCATGCTCGTATACCCACTCGGCGATGGCAGACCATAGCTCTGCCCACTCAGCCCAGTGTCGATCCCGTCCGCCCTTCTTGGTCGTGGAAATATCGCCTGCTATGACGTCAAACTTGTTCTTCTTCCACCCGTACAATTCACCGTTTATATAGTGCAGTTTTTCATACTGCCCGGGCGGCCGGCCCGCGTAGGCGAGATCCATGTAGCCCCCCGCGCCACAGGCTACGCTGATGGCAGGACCGATCGCGCACGGCTGCGGGTCGGGGCCCATCAAGCGAGAGCGCGAGGTGCGACCGGCTGTTGCAAGCAAGATGACCAAATCCTTGGGCAGTCCGACCGAGCTAGGGTCTGTCATAAAGTCAACCATCGTGGGCTTCTTCCAGGCAGACTGTTCCTTGGGCGGCTCCAGAGTCCTCATGCTGGCATCGTTAGGTTCCTGCCCTTGAGGAAATCGCTTGGTGAAGAAACTGTAGAGCTGTGACCAATCTGAGTGATTGAAAATATCACGCAAGATGGCAGCGAATAGTAAGGTAGCTTGAGTCCGGCCAGATTGCTGCTCAATGAAGGCAAAGTCGTTCAGAGAGAAGCGATGCAATTTCTGAGCGGTCGGTCAGCAACACGAGTCTATACTCTTCATCGCACTGCTCCTCGAGAGATTTCTACATACCTCGCCAGGCTTCCAACGCTCGTCGGTCATTATATTGTATGTCTGGGGGGTGCAAAGATGCAGAGCCAGTGGAAGGGACACCTGCATGGGGATTGGCATGTTGAATACGGGGGCTGGCTTTAGAACGCTTTGATCTGCGATACGCCCAGTGAGGCTCCTATGAGATTTGTTATAATTGCCAATAGTGGAAGGGAAGCCTTTTTGTACAGTCGCGCAGCCGCGTAGGTCAGGCACACCTCGTGCCAAAAGGCTCACCACTCGAATGCTCATCAATAACGAGGTGGCTGTGCACTCGCCAAGCGTGGTCAGCATCCCATTTGAGACTAGTTGAACTGCATCAACGCACCCGAGAGAAGGAATACGAACTGGATAAGGCGGGGCAGGGCTTGGTTGCGGCTCAGATGAACAAGCCTTTTTAAAAGCATGAAGTTCGGGCCTCTGGCAAGATCGTGAAACCCATTATCCTCGACTATGGATATCCTAGGCGTGTCGGTCGGAGCGGTCTCGCTTGTTACTTTATTCAAGACATGTCTGGCTCTTTTCGAGACGTTTGAGAACGGCAGAAACCTAGGAATGGACTACGAAATTTTGTCTACAAAAGTCGGCATTGAGCGCGTTCGTCTCGCGCTCTGGGGAGATGCCGTGGGTCTCCTGAGACTGGCTCCGGACCAGGAAAAGAATGTCGACCGGGGAGATGACGCGGATCCTCGACTGGGCGAGCCGCGTATGATCAGGGCTGTTTCTGATATTCTGAATTGTATGCGACGGCTGTTCGAAGACAGTGCCGCGCTCACAAGGAGATACGGTTTACAGGCGACAACAACTGGAAAGATTCCCACCAGTGTCGGGGAGAATGCGTTGGCTGCAACATTCCACAAGACATATGCCCGTCTGCACGCATCTGCTTCTCGGATTCAACGAAGCTCATCTTTGGTCGCAGCGGCGAGATGGGCTATCAAGGACAAGAAGCAGTTTGAGCGGTTTGTTGAAAATCTCCGCAGCTTCAACGATAGCCTGGCTCTCCTGTTCCCGGATATCGATGAAGATTCGCGTCAGGTCATGGCAGATGAGATAAAGGAGTCGACAGACCTGAACGGTCTCCAGATCGTCGAACAGGCCGTCTCTGACTTGGAAGGAGGGGAACCGCTGGTAGAAGCGGCCAGCGTCCGCATTACCCAGCTATCCCAGTACTCTCAAAGCATTGCCGAAGCCCAATGTGCGCAAACGGACGATAGTGTTGCCGACATTGATGTGCACCGTCTTACCAGACAACTCGGGGTGCTAGACGCCTCGATGAGCAAGCGAGTTGAGCTACGAGGAGGGCTGCAGTTTAGCCTCGCCGGGATCGTGGGAGGTGATTGTTTCGCCGAATACTCCTTCTATGGTATGGACAGTAATGACTATTTGGTGGAAAAACATAAGGAGGCCCAGTATGTCAAACATTCCTGTCTGGCGTGGTGTAAGTCATGAGTCTCCTCTTCACTGCATGAACATGCATTTATCTGATCCTGTCACCAGCGTTGATGTACATGTCCGACAGGAAAAGACACGACCAGGCTGATTTCAGCCGACAGGATACGGAAGTATGTAAAAATGCGTGTTGATCAGAAGACTGTTCGGCACCAAGCTCACGCTGCCTAGTGTCATCGTCTCTACGAAGGGAGACTCCCCGGTACACGAAGCATTGGTGGTTACATAGCCGACTTCAACATGTGGATCCGAGCCAACAATCCCAAAACAGAGCAATTCTCCAACACCCTGCACTCCCTGCCGGACGTCGCATTTGAGGATCTAGTTGAGCGGGTGCGCCGCATACAGCTTCAAGGCGACCGGTTTTGGAGTGCCGACGAGCGCTCAGCAAGCAACAATCTAGAAGAGCTTATCGGTCCCGCACGCATGGGGTCCACGATGCCAGACCAAGTGACAGAAATACTCTACACCCTCAATCGCCGCAGAGACTTTCCAGACGTGCTCGATGGCGCCTCACTGGCCACTATCGCGCTCGGTACATCCGATAGTCTTTACAACTTTCTACTACAGGTAATACTGGCCTACGAACTACGGATGCGCATGCAGCGGCTATCCGATATTGGATTTGGCAATGTCAGTCCCCGCATTGTCGCCGCTATGCACGCCTCGGAGCGATGGCTCGACGGCATCCAGGTCAAGTTGCCCGATCCGAATGATAACAGCGTTGAACTGCATAGTCTCGTACATGAACGCCAGGTTGAAGGACTCATTCGCTTCGCCGAAATCATGGCTTGGCCAGCTCTTGGAGAGATGCGTATCTTTGCAGAGGAAGCCTATGCCAGTATCAGAAGGGGCATGGCCAGCAGCACACATCTTTGGGACTGGCTATATGGCCTCATGCTGCCTGGGCAAGGCTTCATTTTTGCGATTATGGCTGCGCTAGTTGCAGCCACTCCAAGTTTACGGCACCTGGAGGCCGCCGAGCATTACACTTCGGGACTAGTCCTCAAAGACCGGTCGTATTGGCGGGCAAAAACGGTGTTTGGCCGTGTCCTCGGCGGGATGAAAGGGGTCAGAGCGGCCAATGGCTGGGTTGGGCCATGCCCAGCTCCGGAGGATGTCCGAGGGGCGTCGCTCAAGGAGGGCTGGTGGCGTGTCCACGCGAGAGATGCTGCCTTTACCCGCTTCACGAACCAAGATCAACCAGCGGAGGTGCGCCGGTTCCCTCCGTTCCAGAGTTGCGAGGACAGTTCCAGTGCGGCAGAATGGATTCGGGGCTTGGGCAACCGTTCAGAATGGGCAGTACCTATCGGACCGTCTGAATCGTCAGATCATGTCGAGTTCCGTGCCCTCCATTTCCAAAAACTAGGTTCAGCCTTGCACGACACTACGCCCGCACAAGGCTCACTTATGAAGAGTGATGGGCAAGACGAACCTGAGCCAGAGCAAAGAGCTATTCTTGATCTACTTATCAATGATCGTCCGGTGAGCTTCACCCTCTATACCAACCCGGTATTCATCGCGGCACCAGCATGTATAGATGGACCCCATGCTGTCCACCAGCAAGATCTTCCCAAGATGCAACACATTCTGAGGCCGAGTCAACTTCTAGACCACGTTCACACTGACAAGAGGGTGCTCATCATTGACGCTACTGGGAAGGGAGAATGCGAGCTAGTAGCGCGAGCATGGTGCTCTCAGAATGGACAACATGCTATCATTGTAAGGGGGCAAGGAACATGCTTCGCATGTGCAGTCAAGGCTGCAAGTCAAGGCGCCCTTGTCATAGGCTGCGTTATCTGGTCGAAGTCGTGACTTTCAGACAGACAGTTGGACTGAAGAGGGCAGGCGGGATGAGTACAGGTAATTAGCCATGTTGTCCATCCACAATTCCCAGGCTGGGCCTCATTCCTACATCAGCAGGTCTATGCATAATCTCACGTTGACCCCGCAACCTCGTATATCTAAGCCCCCGACCGTACGTGCCCAAGCGTCTTGGCATGAGGCTGTGTCTAGGACCTCCGCTTGTGCAGACGGTTTTATTTCGGTCTTCTCTACTCCGTATATTATTCTGGGATGACAGGGTTGTAAAGTCCCTTTGCTAGAAATTGTGTAAGCTCGAGCTTCACAGATGGAGATAGCAAGTACCGCAATTGGGGTGGTCGGGTTGGCGGCTCTCTTTAGTACTTGCATAGAGACCCTGGATACACTCGCCGCGGCTGCAAGATACAGCGTCGATCGTGAGATCCTCCAGACAAAGATTGAAGTCGAACGGCTACGACTTATTATCTGGGGAGAGTCTGCAGGGCTGACGAATATCGACCCTAATCGACCCGAAGATGAGACTGCCAATGACCTCGACCTTCTCGACGAATCCCTCCGAGGCGCCGCCCTGCGACCGGCTGTGGCAGGCCTTTTAGCCTGCTTCGCCCACTGTATTGATGACGTCGAACAGCTGCAGAGCCGATATGGCCTGGTAGCGCAGAAGGAAAGTCAAGAGAAGGAAAGTATAGCGGCGTCGACAGAAGCACCAAGGCGACAGATGCTCCTCACCACCTTCCAGAAAACGTACGCGCGATTCCAGCAACGTACATTGAAAGTCCAGGAGGAGAGCTCGCCTTTGAAAAAAGCCAGATGGGCTGTGACAGATGAACGCAAGTTTCGCGCCCTTACTGCGGAGCTAAAAGCCATCAATGACTCGCTAGACTCGCTCCTCCCAGCCATCAGGGACAAGACACGGGTGAAGATGCGCACTGGCATTATGCGAAGCAATGATGTGGATCAACTGCAAAACCTCGTCACCGCTGCTGATGAGGTGACAGAGCTTATCGCCGAAACAGCGAGCTTGAGACTTGAGATGCTGTCTACGACAGGTCACCCAGGAGCCGTGAAACCAACTCTGAAGAGTGTCCAGGTTACAGCTGCGTCAAGAGGCTCGACAGAAAAACGCCTGAACGGTCCATCTACCCAGTTCCCGTTACCAGGGGTTCAATCTGTCGTACAGGACCTGATTGCGGCCACCGTCGATGTTCCGCCGAGTTCTTCTTCTGCGTCTACAGCGCCAGCAGGCGACCTCTATGATGATACCGGAGCACTGGTGATCCACAAAGCCTTTTACAAACCCGACAGCCTAGCATGCTTTTCTTGGCTCGTCGGGCTCGGGGAGACTCCAGAGCTGGCGGAAGCTGAGCCAGTGCCTGACGCAGCATTCGGTAAGATGCTCAATCTCTATACCCGTTACGAACCACATATCTAACAAACTCATAGATTTGCAATATATCCCAGACCTTGTGGCAATCGTTGCAGAAAATCTGTTAGAGGTGGACATCGCCGCCGACAGAAAGTATGCCGGGTGGTCTCCTGGATCAGTCTCCTTAACTGGCTTTGCCCGAGAAGCCACCTTCTGGAGGAAGGCGCCAGACCTCGAAAAGAGAGGGAAACCTCCCAGCTGGCAGCGAGTCACCTCAAAGCAGATTCGCAGTGACTTTATCGACGAGAGGTGGAAGAAGCTGGTGGAAGAAGGCCTTGGAGATGACTTTACAGACCAAAAGGGCTACGAGGAGGTGCGGGAGCTGATCGGTCCCAGCGAGTACGTCCTCAAGCAAATGATACTCCTGAATGCAGTCGAGAAAACCCAGGCTAATGACACTCTAGTTACACATGGCTTGATCCAGAAGAGGGTTTCAAGCTGCGGCATCAGATCACCGACCTACTCGGGGCCCTAAGCAGCTCGACATTACCCAGCTTCGAGGTAAACGGCAGCATTGCTCTTCTTGCATTTTACGAGAAGATTGATCCAAACTCGACTTTTGGATTTGCCGATTTCATGCGGCAGTTGCTCGTCGCTCGCGAGTTGACACTGCGAATCCAGCGAGCCGATAAACGCTGGTATGGTGGAATCACCACTCGAGTTCTTTATGACATGATAACGGCCGATCTATGGGCACGAAACATGGAGATCAACCCCGCTGGAGGCTATGGGGTACCTAAACTCGTGACTCAACGGCAGATGCATGGCATCATCAAGTTTGTCACCGAGATGCAGTGGCCCTATGCAGACGAGGTCCGCAAGACTGCCAACGATCTGCTTAACGCACAGCCCTACGAAGTCAACGTTGATGTGCGTGTCCATGACTGGATGAGTGGACTGGTCTTTCCAGGCGCTCATTTCCCCCTTAACCTCGTTGGTGTTCTCTATCAGCTCTCGTCGACCTTGCGAGCCCACATGCCGACCGATATCGTCAAGGTTCGCGAAGGAAACTTCGGCATCGTGTATCCCGAGGCGTCATATTGGAATGTCCGCTCTGTGCTAGGCAAGGTGCTGGCACCACTGTCTGGAGATCAGGAAACAGGCCATCCCAAGGTTCGTTGTTTAGGTGGCTGGGTTGGGCCCTGTCTTTCGCCCTCTCTGCCTGAATGCAGACTTGGCATCACTGTTTCTTTGTCGACACGGCAACCTCCGTATGCCCCACTAGATCTGGACTCTGGCGTTGGAGATGCAACTGAAACGACCTGGTCAAGGGAAAGTAACCATGGTGATGGCGGCGAGTGGACGCTACCAACGCCTCCTGAACTATCCCTTGATACGGTCGCAGTCCAAACTATTCGCCTCTCCAGGGTGCCGAAAGCCGATTTGAGCGCCAAAGATGCACTGTATTATTCTGCACGCATTGACTTTCGCCTGAGTCGCAGTTGTACCTTTATAACGTTCACGCTCTACACCAACAGTGTGTTTATTGCCGTACCACCGTGTCGGGGCAGTCATAAGATAGACCCACGCGCGGCAGGCCGCTACACATTCGCGGTGCGAGGAATTGAGGAACTCTCGCGTATCTCCAAAAAGGGTGATGCCGCTGCTAGGATGGCAATCCTTGTTATAAACGCCACGGGGGAACCTGCCAGTGAAGTATTTGCGCGTGCATGGTGCTGTCATACTGGAACTAATGCTGTGATCTGGAGGCGCGAAGGAGGCAAATGCTGTTTTAAATGTGCATTGATGGTTGCATCCACAGATGGTTTAGGAACAGGGGTTTTGATTGCTTGCTAGACATTTGCTTCCTCGTATTCGCAATAGAACATGAATAAGCCATGAATTGCCGTTTTAATGGTTTCCTATGAATCGACAACATTAATCCAGAGTACAGTATGCATTGTTTTACACAGGCCGCACTTCATCATTGGATATATCTAGTACTGCTCGTCATAGAGGCTAGATCTGATGGTATAGCGAGACCCTATATATCCATTAGGATTTGCCTTACAGAGTGGTCCCAAGGTTTTGCTTGTAGGGGGAGGGTTCTATATACTATATAAATAGCCTAGCTTCTATAATAGTATGGCATTTCATTCTGCCTAGGCTATAGGTTAGGAACTTAGTCCCTAGTAGCATCTTATAGCCTAGATTATCGTCTCTCATCCCTAGGAACCCCCTGAGCAGGGATACCTCCGGCCTGCTTACAACGGGGGAACATGGTCTCTAGACTGATACTGTTACTAGTTATGTATGAGGAGTGATCTAGTTACATGGTTATCCTATGTAAAGAGGGCCTAAGACCAAGAGCGCCTCTTAATCATTCACACAGTTATATATGCCTAAAGTATCCTTCTTTCCTACCCTCTTCCTTGCCCTCTTCCTTGCCCTCTTCCTTGCCCTCTTCCTTGCCCTCTTCCTTGCCCTCTTCCTTGCCCTCTTCCTTGCCCTCTTCCTTNCCCTCTTCCTTGCCCTCTTCCTTGCCCTCTTCCTTGCCCTCTTCCTTGCCCTCTTCCTTGCCCTCTTCCTTGCCCTCTTCCTTGCCCTCTTCCTTGCCCTCTTGGCTACCTTCTTGACTACCCTCGTTATCCACCTATAGGTCACTTTACTAGTAGAACCTACTCCAGATGCCTCTAATCTATTGAGTAGGTGAGTTAGATCTTCTTGGCTGTTCAAGCTCCTGAGAATGAACTATCATTCTTTAGGCCTCATATCTATGCACCGTCGGCTGCTTCCCATCGTCGTAGCGGAGTCTGATATGGCTTTTCATCTGCCACACATGTAAGTCACTTGTCCGGTTGATGATACCACCTAATGCCTCGCGCTCCTCATGATTGGTTAAGTAATCACCGTACAGGGTAATAGCAATGACTGCGTTTACCAAGAAGGGTTGCACTCGTAGGTGATTCAAAGCGATACCGCATAGATTGAGGACGATCGATCGAACTTGAGCCTCTGCTTTGCGATGAGCCGCACGATTTGCTTTTCTAAACACAGTCAGCTACTGCAGAAAGCCACCTTGCTTCTCGATATCAGCTTACTCAAGTTGCGGATTCTCAGCAGCCAAGATCATTTGAGCCACCTAAGTAGTATGCATGTTGAGGTACATAATATCAACTGGATATTCAATGTTCCCCCTTTGTTTACTTGAAAAGCAGTCTTACCAGGATTATATGACTTAGTGGCCTTCTACACAATACACAGTAATTAGCAACGAGCGTTGACGTCAGAAAAGCTGAAGCAAAGGCTCGTGGGGTCGCAGTTTCAAATCACCAAATAACCGTGTCCAAATCAGCTTCCGCAGAACCATGTTCCCCACTAACCTGTGGTCAAGGGCCTACGTCCCAAGTTTAAGAATACTTTCAAATTCACAGTTCAGAGCAACCTAGTTCAAAACCTCAGCTCTTTATGTCTTTCTGTGTAACTTAAGGCTACTTAAAGGCCAGTCCTCTCCCTCTCTAACAGGAGGAGGCGAGAATGGCTATCCTGAGAAAACTGCTGCCTCGGTGAATCGCGCATAACTAATTTCGGTCCATGGCCATTGCAGTTTCAAGACGTTCAATATTGGTTCTTTTTTCGTAGTAAAATTCTATTGTCTTGTCCTACCGTTATCTAGCATCAAATGGCCACAGTTTGTCCGCTTTTGCTACCGTCAGACCCTCGCCACGAGACTCAGATTCTCTGGCCGTCTGCATCCACTGGTCATACGCTGCGCGATGAGCATCTCTCGCAGCGTCCCATTTATCATTCGGAACCCACCCGTCGGAGTTCGTATGGAGGCAGTGTTTTAGCCATAATTTAAGTTTTTGGAAGGTCTCAAAATCTTCATACTCCCGAGCGTGCTCTTTCACCTCCTTTTCAGTTGGAGAAAACGGACAAACTCCCTGTAGCCCTAGTTCTSTCCAGCGAGCTGAAAGCTCAATTAACTCTTGGTGGAGTGCTGCGGCACTGTCCCTCCATGTTGTGTGACAGTATTGGAAGAGCCGAAACAAAGACGGGTCAAGTAGTCTTGCAGGGCGTAACTTGGGTGCAAGTCCCTTCATGCACACATCGTATGTCTGATAACAGATCAATGCATCTTTCCACTCTCGTTCCTTGCAGCCAGGAGTCTTTTGTTCGGAGTGTCCGCTCTCGAACGTGCCTTCCCCCAGTTCCTCGGGAAGTGCAGCGAAATCAGGCGTCTCGTTGGCGTAAATAAATGCAGGCTCAATGCTTGTTGATTGCCAGTCAATCAGGCCAGTAATGAGAGTTGGTTCCTCGGCTGACACAAAGATATTCCTCATGTGAAAATCGGGGTGAAGCAGAGTTGGAGTAGCAGCGTCCTGGATGCGTTTATCCTCAACCAACCTCTGCATCACTTCTTGGCTGATTTTCAATAAACGGATGTGATCTTGAACGGACACTTGATGAGGGAGAAGCTCGTGGGTGACGGGTTCCTTCGGTAAACGCGAGAAGCCGGTCTCTATCAAGCCTAGGCAATAGCTTGTAAGGTCTTTCCCTAATTTTCCCACTTTGCGTTAGTACTGTTGTGGAAGAGAGGATAGAACATCTAGAACTAACAGGGACCACAGTTGGGACTTGGACCACCGTAGAGTTCAAGTTCCCCCGGATTCCGGTTCCAGAAAACCGGACTGCAATTCGGCCCAATACAGAAGCCCTGCTCGAAGGGAACCTTCATGTTCGAGTCTATCGGCGCATCTGAGAAGTATAGACTACCATAAGTCGGAAAGTCTAGGGATGCCATCTTTTTTATTGCCAATGAAAGAGTCTTTGTGCAGAGCATATGTTGTTCCGAATTCATTTTAGGCCACATTTGGTGCAACTGGACACCCATTACCTGCTCCTGGATGATATACTCTGCGCCGATTGGATTTGACTGATCATCGTTCCAATCCAGGACTTTCGGTATCGGAAGCGAGAGCTTGGTTTTTACTATATGAAACAACAATCAGAGAGCGTTAGAGTTGAATCTTCAAGGGTCAGGATATGTGAATCAGGCTTACAATATGTCATTGTTGCAACTTCTGAGTTGGTTGTTAATGTTGGTGCGCCAGCAATACTGGTTAGCAACCTTGCAACAACACAAGAACCATTGTCCATTATGAAAATAAAGACTCTATTAAACCCACCCTCTTGCTTTTCATACTCAACGACCTTGGTTGCTCCTGGACATACGTGGATAGCCCTATCACAGAGCGCACTGAAGTTGAACTGAATATGGCGAGAGTTTCGTTCGAGCTCATCCCGATTAAGCCACCTTCCACCTGTATAAGAATAAAGATCATGGCCGTCAGTGCAGAGTCAGCAAGAATAATGCCTCTCTAGGTCATCACGCTTCAGAGTAAATGGTACTACTAACATGGAGTGCGCTCTTTCGAACATGTTTCTTGGGATAACCCGTCGGGTAAGGGGTGTGGTGAAACTGTGCAAGGTTCCTGTCCCATGTCGGATAGATTGCGCTGAGAGGAGCAGCCGAGTCGGAGATGCAGGGTTGCTGGCAAAGGGGATCTCAACTGCCGCCAGAGTCGGAGCATAATGCAGATTGTCTACTGAGTAGGTGAAGTTGAGCCAGCTCTGAAATATCCCTGGTATTGAATTATAATACCACTAGGCCAAAAGGGTGTCCGGACATTGTCCTTATCAGTCTAGGGTCTCATATATTATGGGCGACGCTATAACGACACCCCCCTACCTTCAAACGACACTGTTTAAACCTAATCAGGTTAGTGTCCGTATCATGTGACCGCTGCAAAATGGATTTTCCGAGTAGGACTCCGCGGAGGATGAAAATAATTCAATTCACTATACTCCGTATAAATTTGATGATAGGATTTGCAGTTTTAATTCCTTCTAATTACATGATCTAATCATACATTATTTTAACAAATCAGAAGCCTCCATTCCCAATATTATGCCACCATAGCAAGCCTGCAAGCCTGCCAATCAGAAGCCTCCATTCTGAATATCATGCTAGCCATATCCATGGCCCCGCGATCTCGCTGCTGTGTATCTTGATTTGATGTGATTTAATGTGATTAAGGACCCTTTGAACAACTGTTTTTAATACTGGGAAGTCTGCAGCAAGAGACACCATAATATGTAGTTATAAGCAAATATAAAATTACACAGGATCATCTATAGTTAGTCACAATGCCCTAACTATCCGTACCCCTAATCACTACTCAGAAAATCCATTTTGCGGCGGTCACATGATATATATGCCCACCCAATTGGGTTAGACAGTGTCATTCAAACATAGACGGCGTCGTTATAGCGCCGCCCTATATTATACATTTTAACACCTGGTCCCTTTTTAAGGCGGTGAGTGTTTTTTGCCATCCTGTCATGCGCCAATCAAAAAAGCTCTATTGCTGCCTACAGCCCAGCCTCCACAGCCCTTGGATTGGACAGACTCCTATGTGATGTGATTCATCCTATCCTTTTCGGAATAATTAACCCTATCTCAAACCAAACATCTGAGTAATTGGTTTCCTGCTTGCTGTTCAGTGTTTCGGATCTGGTGACTGGCGGCTCGCAAAACAGAGTGCCATCTTAAAGCCTTTTGATCGGAGCCTCTGGCGCTAATGGAGACCCGTGGGACATTCAGGCTCTCCAAATTGAAGCTGAAAGTTAATCAAGGTTTTCTAATAAGGGAATACCGAACATAAATACAGCCCAATTATCCTGAGCTTTTATAGTTGAATTATCAATGCACATTGGTCTTTGAATCACACATCTTCCTGACCACCACAGTATACCAGTGACATATAGTGTTGTAAAGCACACCTGATACCCATTCACTGGCCTACTTGCTTTGAGGTGCCCTCTGTTTCTCAAAAATTCAATGAATATACCCTAACACACTCAGAACTATTCCCATTCCCTCGCCATGTCGAAGCAAATCAAAGAATTTTTCTCAAAAGTCAGGAAGAATTACAACATTGCGAAAAAACTGGGTGCAACATTCACCTCCGGCAGCCGCATCCTTCCGTCGCAGACAACCAAAAATGACGCAGATTACCAGCTGCGTCTTGACGCTGGTGAACTCATCGACAAATGATACCAAAATATTGTTTTGCAAGTTAACTCGCAAGCTAAAAACACGGGTTTACGGGAATGGGTCAAGAAACAACCGCAGGGCGCGCAATCTTGACTGAGGACTGCATTGATGACGGCAGAAGCTAGGACAATCTCGGTCTCGAAGGATACAACAAATTGTAGCTAAGAGAAGTCAGGGTAAGGGCGAGACACCGAAGGCGCAAGCTCGAGAAATTCGAAATTTCTAGCCTTGGTTTGAGGCAAAAGGTCGGTAGCGGCCTTTAAGATGGCCTCTCTGAAGTTAAATGTGCGGAAGTCCCAGGTGAATGAGAGCTTGTCACGCCACACGCCTGTACATTCGAAGTCAGCTAAAGTCGAGATTTCGGATCTTGTTTCCGAAAGGGTCTCACCATAATCGAGGAACAGCCCAGCGAAAGCTTGCGCATCTCCCTTTGATGTGGCTGTAGAGAGACGGGATACGATGCCCTCGGCCTCCTTTTGAGCATCGCAGTCGGTGGGGATCTCAACGCCTAAGATGTCGGTAGTGGGGAGACTGTGGTTGTACCTGAAGTCGTACATGAAGTCGTCCGCCACGGGCTTTGGAACCTGGTCGTGGTTGAGCACCGCCCTCTTAGACTGGAGGTTAGCCTTAGAGACTGAATCGGTGCCAGCGGATTCTTGAACATAAGGTCCCATTTTCTCTTATTATGACAGGAGAAGATGTTGAAAAGGTGACTCTTAGGCAATGTTTACAGCCTGATCTCGCGAAAATACTAATGCTTCAGAGCTGCAGATACACGCCGTTCAACGACCAAAACATTGAATGATTTATACATCTACTATATATCTGCAATAAATAAGCCCCACAAAACGAGAAGTTGGTCAACTCAAATCTCCGAACCGGGAAAGTCTCGCCGCGCCTCAACCGTATTTAGTCTTATATCAACATCATTCACATGACTTGCCAATAACCCGCACTCTGCACGATTGACCTTTGCCCGTCTTAATTCTTGACTTGCTGTTTCTGGATATGCCCCGCAGGGATATATCCCCGCGGCGAGGTTCGCCCAATATTGCCTCACAGGGTCAGAGTGACTGGGATGAAGCCACTTATTCACATCGGACAGCACGATGGACCGGTGGCAGAACTCGGACGAAGCCAATCCTTGTCTAAGACAGGCGAAAAAGTAATGGCGACAGAGAACGTCTTAGACCTGTCAGGGTGAGTCCTCATGGAAGTCTAAGTACACATACGCAGAGTATGATTACAGATTGCATCCACAGATAATTAGTCGCATAAAAGTGAAATGTGACAGATGAGGTGCGTGGCAGCTCCTTTCTCCCCCAATAATAGACGTGCTATTCATATCTCCAGCAAATTCAGTCTTACTATTGTAGTGCGATACTCACTCTCATTCGCAAGGCTTGTTATGGCTGCGCACTTAAGGATCATTAAGGATTTCATCCACACTAAAGGGACTTGCCGCAACATAATATCTAACCCCACAAGCATGAAGAGGGATCAGGCAAAGAGGCAATGATATTAAAGATATCAGGTTCATCATTAGCACACAGGACTGGTTGATCAGGCTAGTCAGGACTATAGACCATTAGAACAGTAAATGTCCTAATAGCAGTAAATATTGCTTTATATATGGCATCATGCCCGTCACAGAATCAGGAACATCTTGGAGATTTCAAAGATAACTGAACTTATTAGAGAACATGCTTCGCTCGCTGACTTTTGATCAACATTAATATTTACAAATGGTGTGGTAAATCTGCGCCCCTGGTTCTAGCTGCGAATAACCACGACTGATATGGTCTTCAAGCTATACGACAATTGTGGCCCGTTCCTTAGTTAAGTATGAGACAACGCGCTGATTCTCAACATTTATGTTAAATGCTAATTTCTCGCACAGACCTTTGAGGTCAACAGTTTACAGAGTAGTCCATAGCGGCTACACAGCCCTTTTTGATCGGAAGTTCTTTCATCTTGTAATATATACAATCGCTTCTTAACTTACTCCATGATGGGTAGACCGTTGTCGTCGAAGTATACGGGCACGCCCTTGCGGAATGAGTACTGCAGAGCAGCGCAAATCTTTCCCGCCTCGAAGGCATCCCCTGGTTGACAAGTCAAGGGCTTGTTATCAAGCACCGCATCGGCGAACTCAGCAAGGTCAGTCAGGAACGTCGCATCGAAGAGAGTGAACGCGTCAGGCACAGATTGTGTGCGAATACCAAGATGGTCGCGAATCTCAACATTCGAGTTAGCGCTGATGATCGAATGTCCCTTGGTGCCACACAATCGAGTCGTGTCCTCGAAACCGCTGGTGAGCGTGCGACCGAGGTAAGTCTTGAGAATCTTGCCATTGGCAAATTCCACCAGGCCCCATGCGTTGTCGGCGTCGCCATACTTGGCTAAGTCCCCGTAGACAACCAGCTGACCGAAGGCGATGACTCTATTGACTTGCTTCTTGGGGCTGGAGAGGCCTGACTTGACATCTAAAAGATATCGTCCGGCGTCGACCTAGTGCCGTGTTAGTAGATTGGACAGTGTAAAAGAGACAGAAGAAAAACTGGGACTGACGGTGTGGATGCCAAAATCAAGGAAGATGCCGCCAGACTGCTCAGAAAAGGACACGAAAAAGGCTAATCAGAATGGTCAGTCTATCAGCCTATGCGGAAGACAACGACTGGGGGCAATTATGGCCATACCATTGGGGTCTGCTTGATCGATACCAGTCGTCTCAACAGCGTGGATTTCACCCAGGTCTCCATTGTCGATCAGGGCCTTGGCCTGGCGGTAGGACTTGTCATCTGGCGCAAGTCAGTCTCTGAACTCTGCAAAGCGCGGGACCTAGTGTTACTTACATCGGCGAGTGAAGGGAACGAGGAACTTGAGGTCAGGCCTAGACGCAGACTTCTCGACCACTGTCTTGGTGGTAGCGACATCCACAGAGATGGGTTTCTCGCACATGACATGCAATCCTAGATCGATGGCCTGCAGGATCAAGGGCGCGTGTGTAGCCGTCGCGGTGGAGATGAGGATGGCCTTGGCGCCGCTGTTCTTCAAGCACTCTTGAGGGTCTGAAAAGTACTTGACAGACGTGGGCAGATTCTCTGCGGCCCATTTGTCAGTGCCTGGCTTTACATCGCAGACCGCGACGAGTTCGATCCGAGGCTGCTGGAAGGCGAGGATTCGGGCTCGAAGGACTCCCAGGCGGCCGAGGCCGAAAAGCTCAAACTTGACACGGCGGTCCCAGTTCGACATGGTTCAGGGTCTGTTGTGAGGTGACGTTCTCTTATTCGACGACCGCGGTGGTGGTCGTTGCGATCTAGGCAATGTAATGACAAGAGTGAGTGATGGATGCAGACGTCTAGTCAACTGGTAGATTGCAACTTTGCACCATCGGAGATCGGCTTTATTTATTAACCTCTGGTCTCTGCTCTGGAACAGATCCATACTCTCAGTCGGCGCAACCACAGGCTTTCCCCGCATGATAGATACTATCCGAATCCGATACATCGTGTATCGTGCAAGAACCGATGGGGGAACCGAGAATCGCCGCCTGCAGGTCATCGCCGATGGTTGACCGTGGGGCTTCTCGAATGAGCTGCTTGGCAGGTACAATGCGAAACATGTCGTGTATGAGATCCAATTACATTGGGCCTCTGCGTGACGTTGGAAGGGGGATCGCGGCCGTAACAACGGCGCTTCTATAGTGTCGCCGCATTCTTTCCATATTTAGTAATTTCTCGAGAGATCATTTCTCCAGACAGAGATTGCTTGATGAAGCCCATTCCGTCCCGCGGGGAAACTTCCCTATTTCAGATTATGCTTCGCACTAGCATCATAAGCTAGATTACATGAGCCGGGGTTGGTTGTTCAATTGCGGTCACTGAGGAGACGAGAGTGACATCAATGGGGCAGCGCAGCGTTGATCAGGCGCGTTTCTAGCTGCCCCGGCTAACTTATTTGCCATGGAAATCGTTGAACTGTCTAGCGGAAGGTGACAATGCCATGAGAGCACCAAGTGTGAGGACCGTAGGAACATGCAATGGGCTTGGCATAATCAAGGAGTTTGCAATGCGAGTTCTGCAAGATTTTCCCAGATACAGATTCTAGTGCAAAACACGGTCGAATGAGGCCCTGTACCTGAGCTCAAGCTTATTGAGCCTACCTAGTATGATCCCACGCTCACTAAAATAGCTTGAAGAATCATGTCTATTGGTAGCATGTTGATCACGCTGTCGTAAGACCGTAATATTACTCTTTGAAACCCAACCCCAAGCTTTCTTCTGAAGTTGCTGCGTAGGATGCGTGGGCCAGGCACGATTTTCTTCAAGCAAAACAAGAAGAGCGAGCAATGCTTCTTGTTTGACCCGCATGGTGAATCGATCTCCAAACAAACAGATAGCCATACTAGCCACGACCAGGCCCGGTGGGCTGTTCTGGTTTGATAGAGCGATACCCCATATCCATAACACGATGGATCTAAGTGTCTGGTCCACCGAGTGCATTGCAGCACTTGACTGGGGTCCATGCGGGGGACCTTTGAGTTGTGTACTACAAGCAGAATCCTCGCAAGTTCCGAGTAATAAATGCCAGCAACGTGGCAGTGGACCAGTGGTTGAGATACCAAATCTCGGGAAAGGCTTCTCCCCGCGAGTGGTGCATCGCGAGCATAGATGGGAAAGAAAGAGCGAGGGCGAAACTCTTCCCACGACTTATCAAAAGGCAAAGAGTTATTCTACCGAAAAATGCGTTGAGCGGACGTTGTATCTGCTGCGGCGACATGGGTGCTCTCAGCGTCGGATCCAAGGCAATATCGGAGCACATCGGCACAGTGGACAACCAAGCAGTCAGCCCATACATGATCCTCTGTGGGTTCAAAAGATCGGTAAGGCTCGCACAGTTCAAGCAACTCAGGTTCGCTTCCCGCTTTTGACGATCTCATCAGCTCTATGTGAGCTCAGGGCAAGGCGTATGGATGTACTAGACTGGTAGTGGGTTGGATATGGGTTGACCCACACCATGTCTGATCCAACCCATGTGGACTATGGTTGATCCACGACCTGTTCAACCCACCCTCATATCCATGCGGACTGGATTATGGATAATAGACATATCTATACTACCTAGTCAGGCGACCTCTAGTATCTAGATTACCACCTATTTTCCTAGTATTCTAGCCACACCACTAAGGTATCTATATATTCTATAGGATACTATACTTATTAGCTATATAAATATTATATATTACGTATTATATAAGCTAAAATAGTATTATATAGGGGGTAGTAGTACCCCTAAAAGTTAGGATGAAATATGGTGCGGAGATATATATATCTTACTACTAATATCCTAACCACCATCATCCGAAATCTAAAATCCATCGTAGCTCTAAAGAGTATTATTAATATCTCCATTTTCTGCTGTCGTAGCTTCCCGTTACCGATTCCCTTGTTAAAGACGTACTTTAAACTATGATGCCCCCTACTAGTGTGCCACGAGGTTTTGTTACTTTTTGTTTATCCCAATGATGTTTGTCAATTGCAATCAGGGTTTGTAGGTATGCACACAGTACTCACTTTCCCCTCTCAACTCTTCCACTGAATGCACTGATTCAGGTGATGGCAGTGACAATAGCTAGAATTGACCAGCCAATATTAGAGAAACATGACCTAGTCATCCTGCGCAGTACTGGAGACTGGCATCTGCCCCCAAATTCTCTTAATCCCATGCACAATCTGCAGGCCGTGATTGTCGATGTCATTTTGGACTCTGTCAATGATGGTTTTCACGTCCTGTTGAGTGCGACAACCCTCCACACCACCCTGTGCTATTATTCCTTGCAACGAAGTTGAAAAGAGTCGCATTGTAAGGTCATTCGCCAGAAGCTTTAATTTCGGTTTATCGGTTGAAAACAGCGTAGCCTGCCCACAGTGGGTAAGCCCAACTGACTCAAAGAGGTAAAAGAGAGTTTCAGTATGCCTATTATACTTGGATCAGTTCTTTTTAGATAACCCTGATGGATGCCTTGTCGCACCTGATGTCCCGCCCACACTTCAGGGCAAATTCTTTATCAACATTCACCATCTCTGTAAATGCCAACGATGACGGAATAGAGCTGTATAGGCTATAGTCTGAATCCTCCCAAAGGAGGTAACCTCCTGGCTCTATTGATGCAATATAATCAGCACCTAGCTTTCGAACATAAGTTGGTGACATACTTAGAAGAGCTATCACGTTGTGAAGGACGACTTCCCATTCTGTCTTATGAAACGCGTACTTCAGAAACTTTACATGCACAACATCGAATGCACCGATGAAATCAGCGGCAAATGGGCGCCGTATGTCGTGTTTATGAAGCGTAACCTGTGCAGGAAGATCTTCAGGCGGTGGGAAGAGTGCTGATGAAACATCGAAGCCCATAAAACGAGAGGACGAAAAGTCTGGCAGTTGGCTATAGATATCAAGCAGCCATTGTCTGTAGGAGTATTGTTAGACCGTGCAATCCTAGGTTGGAGGATCAACAACTGCTCACATACCCCGTTCCTGTAGCCACGTCTGCAATTTGAAGTGGCTCGTTCTTTTTAATGGCAAGGTGAGACGGGAGTAGTTCTCCGTCGGTCAATATGTTAAAATATGCCTGGCCCTCATTGAGCCTATCACTTGTTAGGGCCTTAATGCCTACAGCCTGACTTGTTTCGATGTATCGAAGTAATACCTAGGTTTCTCTTTTATGTCCTCGGATCCGAGGATGTAAAGGTTTGCTGCTTTTGACGGCATTAGTACTCTGTGGTTGATCCGAGTTCTTTGAAAATCATCAGGGCTGTCATGCTGGTGCGTAATTCAGAGGACTTTATATTTTAACGGGACGCATGACTTTTCCAGAATAGTTAGTATTAATGATATTTGCGTCCTATCCTCATTGGGCTATGCGGCCACTTCTTACTGCGTTGTCTTTAGCCTGTATAGTGGAGATGGAACGATTCAGCTATGACGAACTTGGCAATATTAGCCGACTCATTCTTGATGCAACTGAGTGTTACTATCCTGGACTTAAAAAGGGTGCGATAAGCACCAACTTGGGCTACTTGAGTGGCTTCATCCTCAAAGTTTCCTAATCCACTCTCCGGTTTAGACGCCGCGATGATACAACAAGTGCAGCAAGCTGTCTTCGATCCAGAAAGGTTCCTGGTCGATATCCAAGAAACATGTCGCGCGATCGGTGCTCCATTATCCGAGGAAACAATCCTGAAAGTCCTGGTGGCTTTCCAAGCCAGCTTCGCTCGAGGGGCTGTCTTGTGGAGAACCACCGATCTCCCTGGAGATGGTCTCAATTTTCGATTTTACGAGCGTGTGTCTATCGACGCTGTATCTTGTGCAGTCAACGCCAAACTATTACAGCCGAATCATCCCCTGTCCCAGGTGATCGTCTCCTGGAGTTCCTTATACTCGGGAGCTCCGCAACAATCCTGTGACTTTGATACCAAGCGAGGCCTTACCAAAATCTGGGTGTATCTGGGGGATATGCGCCCTCTAAGCGACATATTGAGCGCACCCCATGTTCCTCTGTCTATACGCAACCACGCAAAGACTTTCTATAACCTTGGCTTAAAGCTCGTTCGACACGTTGCCGCAGATTTTACGTCGAACACAGTCAACATCTACTTTCGTGCGCACGGCCCGTTGACGCTGGAGCGAGCAAGCAGCTTAGTTGGCCTGGCCGACCCTGCCTACCTTCTGACGCGTGGGGAGGTGGCAGAGATGCGGCGGTTTCTGAACCCCGTGGGATTTACCTTTGCCGTTACGATGGATTATACCACAGGTGAAATAAAAAGAGTGGGAGTGTATGCTCTGAAGCTGGCGCCGGGCACCTACCCACTGATGGATGAGAGGTTGAAGGTATTTTTTACCCAGGCACCATCACATGATGAGGAAGAGATGAACGCAATAGCATGGTCATTTGGCAAACATGGTGCTAGATATGTCAAGGCAGAGAGGAGCTACTGTGGGGGACTGGTACCATTGATGAGACAATGGAACAGCGCGATGAGTTCATAGACGTCCTATTGAGAGCGTAGGCGGCGTCTCTCCTTCCAACAATTAAAGATAAGATTTTGTCTAGTTGTATCTTGCTGGGTTGTCCGTTTGAAAGTACGGAAGGTTGTAAGCTACGATGACGAGGATCTTACTTCCTTGAGTACGTCTTCAAAAGCCCCTGACGAAGCAAAAAGCCATGGTAGGATGAGGGCGCGGGATGTTGTACCTATTGATCAACTGTTCTGTGTTACCCAGCCAATACGCACCCGCACGCCTGCTGAACACGCAAGGGTTGAGAAACGAGCTACTGAAATACAGACCCCAACAGCAGCTGGCTAATCGTATGTGTATTCACTGCGCCCGCTTAGCTCCTAACTCATCATTCGCCGCAGACAAAAAAAGATATGGTATGGCTTTGGTTTGAAAGCCAGGCCCTCTCAACAATGGGCCTTTTCCACTTGCTATAGTTATATGTGCGGTACGCTGCTTAAATTTCCTATCCCTGCAGAAAATCCCATTATTTACAATCTGAAAGCACGGGCTTCGACTCTAATTCCGTGTGGTTTGGTAAGTATAACGACTGCTCCATACCAACTATTGGGATCTCAACCTGACGCATCAGTGACCGGCTGTTCTTCTGGTCTTGGAAAATCCATTTCGAAGGCTGTGTATGACGCTGGCTTTCGCATCGTGGCAACAGCTCGCTCGACTGCATCCCTCTCGTACCTGCCCGACGGCCCCAGCGTGCTCAAGCTCTGCCTGGACGTTACGTCCGGCACATCGATCGAGGCAGCCCTCGCTGCTGCAGTAAGCCACTTTGGACAGATTAACGTGGTGATCAACAATGCAGGATACGGGCTCAGAGGGGACACCGAGGCCGTTCCGGAAGAGGAGGCCCGAAACCAGATGGAAACTAATTTCTGGGGCCCGGTCCGGATTACTCGCGGAGCCGTGCGGGTCTTCCGTGAAGTCAATGGACAGGGCCAAGGGGGAACAGTCGTGCAGATTTCTTCTCTGGGGGGATGGATTGGGTTTCCGGGGAATGCGTTCTACCATGCTAGGTACATAGCCTCCCTGCTCTGTCATACTCACTGTTCACGGGAACTGACTAACCCCCGGGGCTAGCAAATTTGCCCTAGAGGGATTCACTGAATCCGTGGCCAAGGAGATGGATCCATCGTGGAACGTCAAGTTTCTTCTCGTGCTGCTGGGAGGCGTGCGCACGAACTTCGCTTCGACCAGTGTCTGGGCGACACTACGGCATCCCGCCTATGACCACCCCGGCAGTCCCCTCACCCAACTGCTGAAATATGTGGCCAATCCAGCGTCCCAGGACACCCGGAGCGATCCCAATATCTGCGCACGGCTCCTCGTCAACGCGGTGGTCGGCCAGCAAGAGCGACCGCTCCCTGTACGTTTGCTTATGGGTGCAGAGACCATTCCCTTAATACGGGGTGACATCGAACGGACACTCAAGGAGATGGATGACTGGAAAGCGGAGACAGAGGGCTGTTCGCCAAAGGGGGGTGCTCGCCTGGGCGTCTCTGCGTTGAGATAGATTATGGAGTAGTTTTTCCGGTGCGAGTTGACCAAGTGGCTGATATATTAGCGTCTTGGCTACCCGATAGTTGGTTGGTACGGCGGACTATAGCTACAATGTGGACTTTTGGTATTTTTACAATGATTACATGCTACCACTACCACTACCTTATGATTGCACGCACTGCATGTATAGTATTAATATTAAATTATTATATAGTATTTAATATCAAATCATCACCTAGTCAGGATATCGA